GGTGGTGTTTCTATATATACAAAACATATTTGACGATGTAGGATACAGATGGGCAATGATGGAATCTCTAATCCCATCCGCCTTTATATGTGTATATAAATAATAATGTTTGATTAATTAATCCATGTAAGCTTTTAGTCATATTTGATTGGCAAAATTTTAGTTTTATGAAATATCATATTATATTACGGATAATACGGTGGTATTTGTAGTATGCACAATATATTTGATGAGGTAGGCTAGAGCTGGGCAATGATGGGGCCTCTATTCCTCTCACGTTTTATATTTATATATAAAAATAATAATCTTGATTAATTAATCTACGTAAGCTTTTGATCATATTTGATTGACCAAATTTTAGTTTATAAAATATTATATTATACAAGGAATGATATAGTGGTTTTTGCAATATACATTATATATTATATGATGTAGGATACAGCTGGGCAATGATGGAACCTGTAATCTCCTCCGCCTTTATATGTGTATGTAAATAATAATGCTTGATTAATTAAACCACGTAAGCATTTGGTCATATTTGATTGGCTAGATTTTAGTCTTATAAAATATCATATTATATAATGAATGATATGATGCTATTTGTATATACACATAATATATTTGTTGAGGTATTGTAAAATTGGGCAATGATGGGGCATGCAATATCATACCACTTTATACATGTATATGAATAATAATGATTGATTAATTAATTTATGTAAGCTTTTAGTTATTTTTGATATCCCAAATTTTATACTATGAAATATCATATTGCATAAGGGATGATATGGTGGTGTTTGTTATATACATAACATATTTGATGACGTCGGGTAGAGTTGGTCAATGATTGAACTTGTAATCCCCTCTCTTTTTATATATGTATATAAATAATAATACTTGATTTATTAATCCACGTAAACTTTTGGTCATATTTGATTGGCCAAATTTTAGTCTTATAAAATATCATATTATATAATGGATGATATGATGGTATTTGTATATATACATAATATACTTGTTGAGGTATTGTAAAACTAGGCAATGATGGGGCATGTAATCTCCTCTCACTTTATATATGTATATAATAATGCTTGATTAATTAAATCACGTAAGATTTTAGTCATATTTGATTGCCGAAATTTTAGTCTTATGAAATATCATACTTCCTCCGTCCCAAACAAGGTACAAAATTTGTTTTGGACACGAGTTTTAGGTGGGTAGTATTAAATAAGATAATTTAAAAGTTAAGTGATGTGATGGAGAGATAAATGTATATTTTATTTTTTTTTATTAGAGTGATGTGATGAGATAAGTATGGGGTAGAGATTTAGTATAATTAATTATTTCCTATTTTGAAAAGGTTGCAGGGTGTTTGGGATATAACAAAAAGGAAATATTGCAGGGTGTTTGAGACATACCAAAAAGGAAATGTTGCAGGGTGTTTGAGACGAAGAGAGTATTATATAAGGGATGATATTATGGTGTTTGTTCTATACACAATATATTTGATGACGTTGGGTAGAGTTGGGCAATGATGGAACTTGTAATCTCCTCCATCTTTATATATATATAAATAATAATGTTTTATTAATTAATCTACGTAAGTGTTTTGTCATATTTGATTACCCAAATTTTAGTTTTATAAAATATCATATTATATAACGGATGATATGGTGGCGTTTGTATATATACATAATATATTTGATGATGTAGAATACAGCTTGGCAATTATGGAGCCTGTAATCCTTTCCACCTTTATGTGTGTATATAAATAATACTGCTTGATTAATTAATCCACATAAAGTTTTGGTCATATTTGATTGGCCAAATTTTAGTATTATGAAATATCATATTATATAATTGATGATATGATGGTATTTGTATATATACATAATATATTTGATAAGGTATTGTAAAATTAAGCATTGATGGGGCATGAAATCTCTTACCACTTTATATATGTATATGAATAATAATGTTTGATTAATTAATTTACGTAAACTTTTGGTCATAGTTGATAGTCCAAATTTTAGTCTATGAAATATAATATTATATAAGAAATGATATAGTAGTTTTTGTATATATACATAATATATTTGATGACGTTGGGTAGAGATGGATAATGATTGGACCTATAATCTCCTCCACCTTTATATATGTATATAAATAATAATGTTTGATTAATTAATCTAAGTACGCTTTTGGTCATATTTGATTACTCAAATTTTAGTCTTATGAAAATATCATATTATAAAAGGGATGATATGGTGTTGTTTGTATATATACATAATATATTTGTTGAATTAGAGTAGAGGTGGACAATGATTGGGCCTGTAATTTTTTCCCTTTTATATATGTATATAAATAATAATACTTGATTTATTAATCCATTTCGGTCATATTTTATTGGCTAAATATTAGTCTTATAAAATATCATATTATATAACAGATGATATGGTGGCATTTGTATATGTACATAATATATTTGATGATGTAGGATACAGCTTGGCAATTATAGAGCCTGTAATCCTTTCCGCCTTTATGTGTGTATATAAATAATACTGCTTGATTAATTAATCCACATAAAGTTTTGGTCATATTTAATTGGCCAAATTTTAGTATTATGAAATATCATATTATATAATGGATGATATGATGGTATTTGTATATATACATAATATATTTGATAAGGTATTGTAAAATTGAGCATTGATGGGGCCTGTAATCTCTTACCACTTTATATATGTATATGAATAATAATGTTTGATTAATTAATTACGTAAAAATTTTGGTCATATTTGATAGCCTAAATTTTAGTTTATGAAATATAATATTATATAAGGAATGATATAGTGGTTTTTGTATATATATGTAATATATTTGATGATGTTGGGTAGAGATAAGCAATGATTGGACCTGTAATCTTCTCCATCTTTATATATGTATATAAATAATAATGTTTGATTAATTAATTTAAGTAAGCTTTTGGTCATATTTGATTACTCAAATTTTATTCTTATGAAATATCATATTATAAAAGGAATGATATGGTATTGTTTGTATATATACATAATATATTTGATGAATTAGGGTAGAGTTGGACAATGATTGGACCTGTAATTCTCTTCCCCTTTATATATGTATATAAATAATAATACTTGGTTTATTAATCCACGTAAGGTTTTGGTCTATTTGATTGACCAAATGTTAGTCTTATAAAATATCATATTATATAAGGGATGATATGTTGGCGTTTGTAGATATACATAATATATTTGATGATGTAGGATATAGCTGGACAATGATTGAGCTTGTAATCCCCTCTGCCTTTATATTTGTATATAAATAATAATGCTTGATTAATTAATCCACATAAGCTTTTGGTCATATTTGGTTAGCCAAATTTTAGTCTTATGAAATATCATATTATATAAAAGATGATATGATTGTGTTTGTATATATATATATATAATATATTTGATGACGTATGGTAGAGCTGCGCAATAATGGAGCCTATAATCTCCTCCCACTTTATAAATGTATATGATAAATAATGTTTGATTAATTAATTCACGTAAGTTTTTGCTCATATTTGATTGTCCAAATTTTAGTTTTATGAAATATTATTATAGAAGAGATGATATGGTGGTGTTTGTATATATACTATCGGTGTGTTTGTTTTGAGGTTTGGATTTTGAGTTGGGATTTGAATAGTAAAAATTTTGAATTTGAATAGTTGTATGATGTGATATAAATAAGTGTTGATGTGATGTTTTGAATATAAAATTGATTTTTAGTATAATATAAAAAATAAAAATAGGTGTTTGATTTGATGTTTTTTGGGGGAAAAATGAGATGAATAGTGGATTTAAAATCCAATCCCCCAAATATTTGATGAAGTTATCATATATAGTTGGGTAATTATGGAGCCTGTAATCACCTAATATTTATATATGTATATAAATAATAATGTTTGATTAAATAATCAACGCAAGCTTTTGGTCATGTTTGAACCAAAATTTTAGTCTTATGAAATATGATATTATATACGAGATGATATGATGGTGTGGGGTGGACTCGTGATCATGAGATTTGATTCAAATTCTGACGTCTTCAGATCTTACTTTTTATACATAGTTCGTATAATATAACTTGTCTTGTCGATTCGATTTAATAAAAAAATGAATAATTTTGACATTTTTATCTTTGATAGTATAAAGAGAATGAATAATTTTATAACATTTAAAAGTATTTTAGTGTATATATATGAATTAGTTTTACTATAAAAAAAAAATATATACTTTTGAGTAATACATAAAAAATGATAAACTAAATTCATTGAAATGAAACATATGAAATATTTAATATGATATTTTTCAAAATTAAATAATACCAAAATCCAAAAAATAAGATTGCCCAATATTTTTCATTTTTAATTGAAGAAATAAAAATGAAACAAATTACATTAATATAAAAATCATAAAAAAAAATAAAAATCAATTTAAGAGTTCGATTTATTTATTCATTAAAACTCAAATGAATAATTAAAATAATGCTATTTGGTCGAATTTTACCCCTCCCTCAATTTATTAAATTAATTCTTTATTTGTGCTGTTTGCACCTTAAATTTACTCTATTACCAAAAATATATATATATAATTATTTTTTTATTCAATAATTATTTATAACAAATACTATTAATTGATTGTATATATATTTTTTATTTATTAACTAAATTTCTGAAAGTACTTTTTTATTTTTCATTTTTAATACAATATTTATTTTTTAAGTTTGATGCTTAAATAGCTTTCGAGTAACCGGAGGGAAGGAGTATGTTTTTAATTATACAAAAATAAAATAAAATACATTGAAAAACTAAATTGGGCCTTTGATTTTTTATTTTCTTATTGAATACTGGGCTTCTCTCTTAGAAACATATTGGGCCGAAGCCGAAGCCTCGGTAGGATGTCCAATTCCAATTCCACTTTGTTGCCGGCGGGGCAGGGACAGGGACAGGAGGAGCAGGAGCAGGATCCGTAGGCCTGCAATTCGTCTCTGCGCTTACAAGAGTCCGCAGCACCTGGCGACCCCACCCCAGTCTTCCCGCAGGAACACATTCGCCAGTTTTTCTCTCTAACGCTTCCCGCATTTCCGATCATTCCTCAATTTCACTTTCGTTCGTTCGAATCAATGGGATGAGGTTTTTCTTCGAAGCCGATCATTCAGTTTTTGATGAAATCTTAAACTGTGAAATTCGTGCAATCTAAGCTTTGACATTTCACCATGTTCGAAGCACATGTGAGTTTTCCGTCACACCTATATTTTTATTTTATTTTATATTGGTTGTCGCTGTTTCTTGGAGCCGTGAAGTTATCGCCTCTCTTATTGCTTTGAGTATTTTGCAAAGGATGTATGTTTTAATTTTGGATGCGTTTATATGAAAATTAACTGGAAGAATATCACGGTTCAAGGGTTCAAAGTGAATTAGGGCTATGAGTTGCTGAATAATTTGCTGGTTTTTTGTGATTGCTTGGGAATATCAATCTTCTATGGAAGGAATCTACCAAACTACGAGAGAATTCTTGTGAAAAATACCCTTTTTTACCTTAAAAAATGAAGGAACTGCTTGTTGTTTTGATAAATGCTGGACCTTCCTGCCTGATAACCTCCATCTTTAAACTTTAAATTTTCGTCTCATTTTGTATATGGAATTATTGGTACTCAAATTCTTTATTGCCAATGAAAATGGTTGCTTTGACTTCTTGAGTGTTAGTAATTTATTAATTAAAGGGTTGCCTTGGGTGTTGGTTGGGGGGAGGGGGGAGGGAGGTTTCACTGTTATCATTCCTAATGGGACATTTATCCACCCTTATGCTCAAATGGGTAAACTGGTCATTCCCGTGGGGCTGACTAGGTGTTTTTGTTGTGTTAAAAGGTCAGTGTTTACTAAAACATATTTCTTTCTTAATCTGTTGATACTGAGTTTTGGTCGCATGGATGATAGTGACACGAATGCAATATTGTTCATTTTGTTGGCTAAGCATGCATCTTTTGACAAACCTTAATAAAACTTATAGATAACATCTTACCAACTGATTTTCTATTTTCTGTAGGTTTTGCATTTGCTTCGAAAATATCTAGGTGAGTATGTCCATGGGCTGTCCGCTGAAGCCTTGAGAATCAGTGTGTGGAAAGGTATGTGATGGCATTTCTCTGATGTTTACCTCATTATTCCTGAAAATCAGCTTGTTTCTGATTTTTGTTGTTGGGTCCCCAGTAGTTGTACTAGCTTATTTATTGTGGGTAAAGTGCTGTGCCGTTCAAGGAGTAATTTTCAAGTGATGGCACTACCATTTTACCGTGCTTAAAATGCTTCCTTTCCATCAGTCGGAAAGGAGTTTATCTTTTTTACATTTTGTTATAATAATTGCTTTGAATTGGCATCTGTACATGGATTGCGGTAGTGTTACTTATTATCATTCTTTTTATTGCCTTAAAATAAAAGATAGGATACATTGTTTTATAATCAAGAAGAGGGAGTTTTTAGGGCTTTATATTTTAGTGGATGGCATGATGTAAGACTGCTCAGATAGTTCTTTTTATTTGGAAAGTAAAACATTTATATTATAAGAAACCGTAGTAGAGGATACAATAAAAAGATAGAGAGAAACATATAGCCAAACATGAAATCTGACATATAAGTGACAAAATGGTTGTGTCAGCATCCATGGAAAATCTGTTGATAACCCGCTCCATCTTCTCCAGTGGAAAAAAGTAGAAGTGGGATATATTTTTTTTGTGAGCTTCTATCAATCAGCAAATGATATACGTTACAATGAATGAGCTGATATAATGTTCAAATAAACAATTGTTTATTTCCCTATGAATCATATGTTTGTAACAATAGGGACAGAAATTTTCTCAATTCTAATTGATTAGGCGTATTGTGTTGGTTCTTTTGAGTAATATATCTGGAAATGCCTGTTAATACCTTCTTAACACCATTTCGGATGAAGGAACATTTGGAACATTTCGTTTCTGAGCAGAAGGGCCATTTTTTCTTTCTCAAAATATGGACAAATGGGAGTTTAACCCCGAAAGAAGCACTTCATGAAGCCTCTCGGAATTTAATTGATTTATTTAGTTCCTTTATGAAAAGGAAGAAGAGAACTTTCAAACTTGATCTTGAATACCCAAGAAGATGATTATATCACCTTTCACTTTATAATGGGTGTTTTTACATCAAAATTCAATTGATGGAGTCAGAACTTTACTAGACACGTAAAGAAAGGTGCAGGGATCAGTAGATCTCTATGTGTCCTTAGACTTGTTATTGGCATTGATAGACAAAACAGAAGGAAGCTGTTAGTTATAAAGAGAAGCGAGCAAATGTGATGTAATTTGACATCCATTTTACAGGTGCATAGATGACATTCCAATGAACCATTTACATGGGTATGGGGAAGTATGATATTTAGTTTAAAGGGTTAGGAAATCTTCATATTTGAGTTTGTCCCTATTAGTTCGATATAAAATATTTGGAGAATTGTTTACAGAGAAATTAAAGAAGTCTCCGTTTGTATTCTATGTTTGGTGCTTTGTATTTGACTGCGGAAAAATGGTCCTTGGAACACTATTATCTTATGATAATTGAAAATGCTACTTTAACATAACTATTGATGATCTTATCTCTATGCTTTAAATTTGTTGCCTGCTACTATTGTGGAGTTTTGTTCGTCTTTTATTCATTTGATGAATTGAAATATTTAAGGCTAATCTTTTTTAAGACTTACTGGCTTTAGCACCTCAATGTATGTCTACTAATGTTTAGGAATATTCCTGCTTTTTCCAGGGGATGTGGTTCTCAAAGACTTGAAGTTGAAAGCCGAGGCATTGAATGCATTGAAGCTTCCTGTTATTGTTAAAGCTGGTTTCCTTGGTAGTATAACCTTAAAGGTAAACCATTTGCTTTTTGGTTGCTTCCTAGATTTCTCGTTCATGAATAATTCCAAAGATATTGTGACCTTGATATGTGTGAGTTGAGTGAAATATGTGTGCCCATGACTTCTTGATGTCTTCTTTTTGGTCTCTTTCACCTTCAATATTATTTAAAATTCCATATTGTTTACAATTTTGTTGACACACGTTTATCAAGGCAAATGTTATGTCTATTTAACCAAATCTATAAATAGATGAGCTATATGTAAAATTGTAAATATGTGGCAATTAAACCTTCTTATATTCTGTTTCCCATTTCTCCATTTCTGCCTTCATATTATTCTACTATACTACTCACAAATTTTGCAATATTTTCCAGCTCCCTTCTAGGAAAAATGTTGGCTTTGTTTACCTATGTTTTCAACTTTGTTTTTTTCACTATTCATAAAATATTCTCTCTAAAGAGTTTTTACTTACTTAAAATCTATAGTTGTGTTCTTTTAGGGTGTGTTGTTTGTGGGTTTTAGTTTTTGGGTTTGGATTTTTTAATAGTACAAAGTTGAATTTGAATAAATTTTGATGTGATATGAATAGAGGTTGATGTGATGTATTGAATATAAAATAAATTTATAGTATAATATAAAAAAGGAAAAGTAATTGTTTGATTTGATATTTTTGAAGGAAAAAAAGGAATTCGAATAGTAAAACTCACAAAAGAACACAACCTTAAGGTTTAGAAATTTCTTGAGTTTTTGTTGTTGGTTATTGTCAACTGTAATAATGTTATTTAAAATATTTATTTTTGTTATTCAAAAAATTTTTTACACAGACAATAATATGTTAAAAATATTTATTTTTGTTATTTTTTAAAATATTTTATGAAACAAAATAATATACTTTTATTGAAAATGGTTCATAGTGTTGTGTGTAAGTGAACAAACACTATCTTTCATTTAAAATATTATATATATAAAATATTTAGCCGAGTTTCCCCAAATTTTACTATTTGGACTCTGCGTTTCCCCAAAAAAATACATTTTTTTTCTCTCACAAAATATCCCATCAAACATTATTTTCATACCAAATCCAAACCAATTTTTTTTCAAACTCATCAAAAGAAACACACCCATAATATCAAACGTCTATTTATGTTACATCAAATACCTAGTCTATTCAACTTTTTATCATTCATAAACCAACCCAAAACATCATAACACTTCCAAAATATATCTGAATGCACCTATAATGATAAAGATCATATATGAGAGCTAAAAAGTTGAACATTCTTTTGCGATTTGGTGGTTTCTTCACGAACTATTGAATATTGAATATTATTGTTTTCTATAATGGATGCATAAATGATTTGTGTGTTTGTTTATTTCTGTTCATTAGGTACCATGGAAAAGTCTTGGAAAGGAACCAGTTATTGTTCTAATTGACCAAGTCTTTATTCTTGCCAATCCTGCACTTGGTGGAACTTTTTTAAAGGTATTCATTTCTAGCAATCCATGCGTTTTGAAAAATTTATAGAAATTATCTATACTCCTTCCCCGTGAAACTCTAAATATTTTCCCTCCTAATGCAATTTCTGTTTTTCCCCCATTAGGAAGAAGACCAGGAAAAACTTTTCGAGGCCAAACTACAACAAATTGATGTGAGTAGTTTCTTTCTTTTCTTTTTTTTTTTTTTTTTTTTTTTTTAATGTTAATTTCTTATACATGAAGTATGTAAAGTGTAAATAAATATCAAAGTGATATATCGTCTGCAGTTCTACTGGTTTAAATCTTTAGCTGATGCTAATGTAGTATTTGTGTGAGAGGAGGTTCCATGTTCAAATTTCATTTCTAGTGAAAAGTCTTTCAACAGCCTAATCGTGAGGAGTTGCATTGAAGAAAATAAAACTTTATTCAATATAAATGAAGCATGTCTCTGTCAACTTAGACCCTTTGGCAAATAAGTCGCTCAATATTACAGTTTGTTCAGATTGTTCTGCCAGCCATTTATAATGGTGGTTTGTATGTATGGCTTTATAAAGAGGGCACCTGTGCATGTGTGGGTTGGGGAGTGTTGGGATACTAGAAGTTAAAAAAATGATACACTTCAATGCCAGTTCAATTTTTCAGGTAAGGTAATAATTTAGCAAAGCTGATTTTTATTTTGGAAAGAAAGGGATATATTATAAATAGAGGAAGATAGCGAGGTACCATCTAAGGGTGTGTTTGTTTGGAGGATTGGATTTGATTTTCACTATTCTATCTCATTTTTTCCCCCCAAAATATCTAATCAATTATCTATTTTTTATTTTTATATTATACTAAAAATAAATTTTACATTCAAAACATCATATCAACACCTATTTATATCACATCATACAACTATTCAAATTCAAAATTTTTACTATTCAAATCCCAACTTAAAATTCATACCCCAAACAAACACACCCTAACTGTCAAGGAAAGATTTGGTGTCTAGCATAGAACTTGATTGGATGACTCCTAGGAGACTAGAAAGAAAATGAATAAATAAAATGCTTGGTTTGACTGGGACTCAACCATACTTAGAGTGTTTTGTGTTTACATTATTGTATTCTCTTATTGTTTCTTTGTCTCCTTGTTACCCCTTAATGTATTTGTTCATTATGCAGGAAGCCGAATCAGCAACCCTTGAAGCAATATCAAGATCAAAGCCTGGAAATGTATTAGTAATGCCTTCTGCTAGTACTCCATCTATTTAGCAAATTTCTAGTTCATAAGGAACCTTATGTGTTTGTCTTATTTCCAAATTATCTTTTTCTTTTGCTGGACAGACTAGATTATCATAACATGCTTCTGAAACAACTGTTCTTGTTGTGTTTTATCCTCTTTAACTGTCAGATATAATTTTTCTATCTAGAAGTACCATAGCTATAATTTCTAAAGCTTTTTATTTAGACTCTGCAAGGTTCTTTTTGTTGTACTCTTCCCAATTTTTTTTTTCTTTCAGCTCTTTTCAATATTGCCTTTTGGATGGGTTAGCACTTGGAGTCAGTCTTCGTAGAGTGTAATTTTCTTTTTTTTTTCCTTAGTGGAGTGTTGATAGGTTGAGAATGTTCCATTGATAACATGAGAATATAGAAAAAATGTAATTATTTAGTTGTCATACACAATTTCTTCTACTATTTTGGTTTCCATGGTTGACCTGTCATGTGTTTGATAATACTAAATCATACTCACTTGTCTTCTAAATCTCTGAGAGTTGTTAATGCATGTAAGAAGAAATATCTCATGGTATTAGGAAATATATTGAGCTGGAAAGCTGTGCTCTTCTTCCTGTTGATCTCTTTGAAATCTGCATTTGGTCTAAAGTAGTAGTTTGGGAGTATTAAGCTGTTCATTTATTTATAGGCTTCTAGTGGTTCACCTATTATTTTGTAATGAGTTTGTAATGATTTGCAGCCCCCTGCTGGAAATTCTTGGCTAGGCTCAGTAATTGCTACAATAATTGGAAACCTTAAGATTTCCATCACCAATGTTCACATTCGCTATGAAGATTCTGTGAGGTTGGAGTTTGTTTGGGTGTCAACGGAATTACTTCCTATGAATATGATTAATTCTTGTGCCTGAATCTGTATGTTAATGTTTGGGGGTTCATTGGATTTTGTTTTCTGTGCAACTTTGTGATGTTCTGTACAGCAATCCTGGACACCCATTTTCTTGTGGATTTACGCTTGCCAAACTTGCTGCTGTCACCATGGATGAACAGGGCAATGAAACCTTTGACACAAGTGGTGCTTTGGATAAATTGCGCAAGGTAATGATCGTACATGTAATGGTAGCTTTTTTGTGTAGTCTTTATAAGTTTGATCTTTCTTGAAAAATATCAAGTTTTCTGAATGGGAAGAAAAGGTGATCTAGATAAATTAATTTGGGACTTAGAAGGTGATTCTGAATGCAATGATGTCATACTGAGATTTCCAATGCATTTCTTTGTCTCCACATGCATGTGACAACATTTATTGTTGTATTCAAATCCACTGTTCAAGAGTATTCTTGTGCAAAATCTATATTGAGTCTTTGTGCCTTTAGATGTCTTGATTCGCAAGCATTTTTGCCTTCTTTTGTGTTCTGGTGTAGTCGCTACAACTTGAAAGACTTGCTATGTATCATGATTGTGATCGTGATCCCTGGAAATTGGACAAGAGATGGGAGGATCTTAGCCCTCGGGAATGGATTGAGGTACATTCTCTTTTTGCTTTGCTCTCATTTCCTCATAATATTTCTTGTTCTGTATGTTTCAACCTGGTGCTACCTCTCAAACATTCTCTTTAATGTTTAATTGTTACTGTGATCCCTATATATTGTTAGATTTTTGAAGATGGCATTAATGAATCTTCCAAAGATACCACTTCAATGTCTCCATGGTCTCAAGGTCGAAACTACATAGTGTCTCCCATCAATGGAGTCCTTAAATATCATCGTCTTGGAAATGTGGAACGTAATGATACTAGTGTTCCTTTTGAGAAGGCTTCTCTTGTTATCACCAATGTGTCTTTGACAATTACTGAGGTATGAACCTTAATATATATCATCAATATGTGCTAGAGTTATTTTTTTTTTTATCTTATGCACTTGATTTGGGAAGTTAATATATATTCTAATATATGGGTTACAAAGGAAATTAAAATTGGGAGAGGCAAAACTTGCAAGTATCTCTTAATTAAGATAGTCTTTCTAAACTTTTAATTTGTTGCTTTTACTTTTCAAGCTAATATTCCTTGATGGCATCTACCTCAATTCATGTAAGATGTTCTGGTATTGGATTTTTTCCATTTCTGCTTATCAGTTTATTTTGATATTCTTGGGCTTTTGTCATTGAATGAACATTATCTTTCTCCGTATTACTGCAAGGTGCCTGTCATGCAGTAAGAATGTTAATATTAGTATATTACAATAGTATTTTAGATGACTTAAATAACAGCTCTGTCAGTTTCAAAAGGGTATGCATTTATAAGATCTGCTTCTCTTTTCAGGCTCAGTATCATGACTGGATTAAACTTATGGAGGTCATATCCATTTATAGAATTCATGTTGAGGTTTGCCATTTAAGACCAAGGGTGCCAGTTTCAGAGGGTGCTGCCTTATGGTGGCGTTATGCTGCCCAGGCTGGGCTGCAACAGAAGATGTGGTAATATTGGTTTAGAAATGCCGAGTAAATATGAATGCCACTATGTAAAGCTCACGTACATGTTCGTAACATTAAAGAGGAACACTTTTGCGGACACAACCTTGTAAACCCAGGCAAAGAAATTGAAATGTTTCTTTAACTGTACGGGAAATCCTACTAGCACAAATATGATTTGTTCCATGAGCATGTAAATAAAGTAGATGCGTATACACATGCAAGGGTTCTTATGAGTTTCTGATCCTATATATAAGAAGTTAGTCAACAGTTAATTCTATATCCACATGACTAAATGCATGATTTATAGTATGCCTGTTAATTTGATGGAAAATGCCTTGTTGAAAAGCTTATTGTCTGTTTGGTTGGAACATAATGATTAGAATCCAGTTTTGAGTCTCAAATATCTATGGTTAGAATGATCTAAATGGAACTATTGAAGTTTTTTGAACACCTAGATATCATCTTGCAGCTGTATATGGGGATTCTTGTTTTTCCATTTTCAATTTTTCCTAAACTAATTTGCTTCTTATCTATATCCTGACAGTTATCGCTTTTCTTGGGAGCAAATCCAGCGTCTATGTCATCTTCGTAGACGATACGTGCAACTATATGCTGATTCATTACAACAATTAAATGTAGATAATTCTGAACTAAGATCCATTGAAAAAGATCTTGATCCTAAAGTTATTTTGTTATGGAGGTATGTACCCGTAACTTTCTGAAGTTTTGCCACGCAAATGATGTGTATATATATATATTGGTAGAGAAAAACTTCCCGTGTAGTAGTATCTGCTTACATGTGGCACTGCCTATGTATCCTTTTCTTATGGACATTGGATAGTATGAGTAATGATCTGTGTACATAAGCGTATTCTCTGGATTGAGATGGTTAGTTTTGTTAGAGCTTGTAAATGTGGTTCACTTGATTGGCTTTGGTGGTTATTCTCCTGTTTCTAACTAATGACATATACGCATCTTTCCTATTCTGCTTTAGGTTTCTTGCCCATGCCAAGGTTGAATCAGTAAAATCTAAGGAGGCATCTGAACAGAGTATGCATAGAAGAAGCAGCTGGTTTTCCTTAAAATGGTCTGTATAAGGATTTTTTTTAAAAATCCTTTAAACTAGAGGCTGCATTACTTGTTTCACTTATTTTTTATTGAATCTGTTGGCATTTAAGCTGATTTGTTCTTTCTATGTGCAAGTATTTACCACCTTCAGCTTGCAATTCATTACCTCAAGCATAAGAAATATATTAGCTAAAACATTATATACTTGATATTACATTTGCATTTTAAATTGATCTGTTTTATTCTTGTAGTTCTTATTAATAGATGTTTCTTCTGCTGCATTCTTGTCAAGCAGGCGGAACGCTACAGAAGATGACTCTTCAGTCAACACTAAGCATGTTTCTCAGTCAGTAGAAGAGAGATTGACTAAAGAAGAATGGGAAGCAGTCAATAAGCTTCTAAGTTTCCAACCAGAAGAGGATTTGTCTCTTAGTGGGAAGGATATACAGAATATGATACACTATATGATCATCGTTTCCATTAGTAAAGCGGCTGCCAGGATTGTCAATATTGATAACACTGAGATTGTTTGTGGTAGATTTGAAAATCTAAATATATCTACCAAGTTTAAACATCGGAGCACTCAATGTGATGTAGCATTGCAATATTATGGATTGACTTCTCCCGAAGGATCTCTTGCCCAGGTTTGCTGTCATTTAGTCTTGTATTCCAATATGAAACATGTGGGTGCTGTATAAATTGTGAATTACTGTCTGGGTGTGAGAAGTTTAGTAAAACCTTAAAACAACAGCTTGTTTGGTTTTGTTTTGATTCCCATCTTCAATCATGATGTTTTCTAGACACAAAATACAAATGTTTATTTAAACAGATGATCTGATGTGATTTGCATTAAGTATAGAATTATATAGGCTTGCAGGAAAATTAAAAACATTTATTGTGTTTGATCTTAATACATTATCTGATTTAACTATAGGTATGGTGTATGATGAATTGTATTACACATGTTAATATTTAAATGACAATAGATATATATTGCCAATTTAGATATTTTGCTAGTGTACTGTAAATATTTCTTGCATAAGTTAATTCTATCTTTTGTTTCCTTCATTGACTTTTTGGATTGTGGTTGGCCTTTATCATTCTTCTTGGATATATGAGTTACTTTATGACTTTGGCCATAGAGTTTCTCCAATGAGCAAAAGGTGAATGCTTTGCAAGCTAGTTTTGTGTATGCTCCTGCTGGAGAAAGTGTGGATTGGAGGCTTGCTGCGACAATTTCTCCTTGTCATGTCACGGTAATATGCTAAAGATATTGTAACATTTTATTACTACATTGTTTGTGAAGTTCCAATTTCTCCTTGGATCAAAATGTTGTGATTATTACGTGATTTTTCTTTGGGATAAATTTTTTATCTTTCCATCACAAAATTGAAAAGAATGAAGGTTGGATATTTTAAGTTGTTATTTAATGCATCAATCTATGTATTACATGTGGTATAGATGATGTGGTTCTACATGGTTTTCACAATAATGGCATCATAGCTATGCTGAGTAATAGTACTGATTTTAGACACCAATTCTCCCTATTTATGGTGTTCAACTTAGCGGGTCTCTTATAAAACAATCATTCCAACACACATGAAGCCTGTGTTAAAAGTAATTTGATTCAAATGATGTGTGCTTCTCCTATGTAGGCTAGCCTAGCAGGTGAAATAATATTTCTTTAGTAGGTTGCTGTGGTATTCAAACTTGATTATTCTATTGTCTAGCATCATTGTCTTTGATAGCTAAAACTATTTACCAAGATTTATATCATTATATATCGAGCTACTTTAACAAGGAGATTGTACAAGCAATGCATTTTCTCTTGCTGAACTGTTGGTGATGGATAAATATCCTAAATAAATGTTTCTCATTGTTAGCTCTTTCTTTTCAACATAGCATTTTTGCCCTTCGAAGCTATTCTCGCACTGTTCTCTTGAAATGTTGATTATTATACTACAAAAAAAAAATAAAAATTTTAATGTGTGTGCACCTACGAAGTTTGACGTGACCGCAAACGAAGACCCATTTTTTTCCTAAAGAATCTAGTGAAGGAAATCTGTCATGTTTGTAAAAAAATATTGTCCTGTATTCTCACCTAGTCTGGATTGTTTTCTGATGGTCTTGTTCCATCCCTCCTTCTAAATGAACACCACAGGTGCTTGTGCAAAGTTATGATCGCTTCATACAATTTGTGAAGAGGAGCAGTGCCTTTAGTCCTACTATTGCGTTGGAAACTGCAACTGCCTTGCAGGTAATAAGTTTAATAATTCATGAAATTTTAAGAAGCCTATTCCTCTTTTTATCTATTTTTTTAGATATCATTTCATGATTGCTGGTTGAAACTTACCTTTGGGGAATCTATTTGATTGGCAGCACAAAATTGAAGAAGTAACACGGAAGGCTCAGGAGCAATTCCAAATGGTCTTAGAGAAGCAGAGCAGGTATCCTTCTCTCTCTATTATCTGGGAAAATTGCTTTACATGCTACTCTATCTCCATTCTGTTGATGTTTCCTTGAATAGCATGTATTTATGATTATAATATCAGTGGGCATTTCATGTTTTACCATTGCAGTATGAAGTTCAATGATTTGAAGTCTGGACTTCAGGCACATTTTTTGTTGCAGTTTATTCAGACTGTTGGCTTTGTTTGATTTGATGAGAATAATTGATTTACGACATAAAACAAAAATGGCTTGTTTTTCTATTTTTTTTTTTTATAGTTTTATCTTTGATCTTTTGTTATCGATATCAGAATATCCTTATCGAATATTCTCTATGGTATAGTGAATGTTAGGGTTGTGGCTTAAGTTTTAGACATTATGTGTTTTGAAATGAAACTTTTGTGAGTATATGTTGCATTTTGTTTCAAAGCATTTAGGCTTTACAAAATTGGAGAGCAGAATCCACGGACAGGTTAGATGTGCAAAGAATAATAGCGTCTTACATGTTGATGGTTCTAGAAACTTTATTAAGTCTAGCTGCAATGATTGTTATGTGCTTTAGTGCTTCTATATTCAACTACTTTAGGACTGACCGCTGTTATACTTATATTGTCTATGTATCTTCTTTTCCGTTGGTCATTATGTTAGTTTGATTCCTTGAAAGCAATCTTATAAATCAATATAGAACTCATTACAGCAGTGTTGACATCAAACAATATGTTGAATATAGAGAGCTAATATGCAAATTGTGAATTTGTTTGTGTTTTGGAGAGAAAAGACGTTTTATTTATATTAGAATTATGGAATATGTAGAAGTTTATTGTATTTCCTCAAGAAAAATTAAGTTACATTACACAATATATGTAGTTTAAAATGGGCCTAAACTAATCATAAATAATAGGCCTAATCTAACACTCTGAAGTTGAAGCATACAAACCATATGATCCAAGCTTGTTACATATGAACTCGGATCTAGGATCTCTAAGAGCCTTTGTCAATATGTCTGCAGGACGCACATTTGGTGTTTATACGTCCAAATACCACTTTTTCACTGATGAAGTGACAATTTATTTCAATTTGTTGCCTGGTTATAACACCACAACTTTATCTTTGCAATCCCACGGAACTTAAGTTCACAAAGTAATTGTTTAACCCAGAGAAAATCACATAGAGCTAAGGCCATTGCACGGTATTCAACTTCAACACTAGAACAGACGAGACCTTGCCCAAGCAACATTTGACTATCCAACAATTTCAGAGTGACTATGTTTTTATAGAGTAAGCCTTTCCGGAGATCCTTCAATAATATATCGAAAAATGCGTATAAGTGCCTTTGAATAAGAGTCAGAGAGACCGAAGAATCATATTAGCCACACTTACCACAAATAATCTATTTGGTCGGAAGAAGTGAGATGATTGAGCTTCCCAACTTGCCTTTTATATCGTCCAACATCAGTCAAGGGTACCTTTTGTCTAGGAATCAATTTCGTATTTGGATCCATAAGAGAATTCACCGCCTTTCATTCAATCATGCATGTTTCTTCCAACGTATCAAGAACATGCTTTCCTTGAGATATGATAACACCATCCTTTGATTATGCAATCTCAATTCCAAAGAAACACTGTAGTGGTCCTAACTCCTTAGAATGAAAATTATTGTGCGACTCTTCAACCGTGTGATCCCATCCATATCATCCCTATGATGAAAATATCATCAACATAGATAACTAGATAAATGCATTGTCCTTCTAGAGTATGTTTATAAAGTAGAGTATGATTAGACGAACATTGTGTCATTCCAAATTCTTGAATAACAAGATGGAAATATCCAAACCAGGCTCCTAGAGATTTTTTTAAGCCATAGACTGAGCTATGAAGGCGACAAATGAGATCGGAGTCCCCTTGAGCACAAAACCAAGTAGTTGCTAGATATACACCTTCTCTTGAAGCTCACAATGCAAAAGATATTATTTTTATGTTTAGTTGATGAAGAGGCCAACTACGCATAGCCTCTACAGAGAGAAAAAGGTTAACATAAGATATCTTGGCAATGGAAGAAAAAGTTTTTGTATAGTCATACACTTGAGCAAAGCCTTTTGCGATAAGCGGAGCTTTGAGACGATCAATGCAAGCATTAGGGTAAACCTTGACTGCATAAACTTATCAACAAGGTACAACTGTTTTTCCTGGTGGCAACTAAACCATCTCCCAAGTATTGTAGCATTCAAAGCACATTTCGTCCACCATGACTTAACACCACCCTACATGACATAAAGCCTCACGTCAAGAGTGGGGAACAAAGATGGAACCTACTGTTAAACTTGCTGGGGGCAAAGAGAATGCTTGAAAGATCTAGAGAGATGTTAAATACTTCTTAGCAAATTGAATTATCTAATTGTCACAGATATTTCGTTTGCCACAAGCCATTGGGACACCGAATCGGAATTGTTCACTACCTTTAAAGATCTCCATACAAGGTCCTTACTCCTTAATATCATGATCATGGTCACTCTGTGGTCCTGCAGAAATTTTGGCAATTATTCGTATCTTGGGAGCATTTGTTGGATGACCAATTGGCACCTTTTCCAAAAATCTATGTTGATTGTGACTCCACAAATGCCTTGGGTTGGATTTAAGGAACTTCAGCCCCATGAAGGTTAAATTTTATGATATGCAAACTTTTGGGTTTCATCTCAAAGTGCCCCCTTGTTATTTCATTATGTGATTAGAAGTGCGAACTATCTGGTGGACCAGTTTGTAAAAGAGGGGCTCGGGGAAGATCAGACTTCCTTGCTTGGGTTTAGGTTCACTATCAATGATATCTAATCTCTACTAGCTTGAGTCTAGTTCTCCTTTCTCTAAGTTATCCCATGTTTCTCAAAGGAGAAGAAAAGGAAATTGTATTTTGAAGTATCAATGCATGGGAATACAACTCATTATCTTTCAATTCAATTCATTTTCTACATACACTTTTACGGTGTTAAGATCTTGGATTGGCACATGGACCTACTATATGAATGTTTAGGTTTGTCAATAATTTTACATATTAAAAAATGCAAGTTTGTTTGTTTAACAAAATGCGTTGTTTTTTTCATTTTTATTATTTATTTTCTAAATATCTAAGTAAGATGGCTGTTTACCTAGACTAATGTTCATAGTAAACACAGATGCTGGTGTAATGAAACTTATAATTTAACAATAAACTAATCGAAGAATAACAACTTCTACAGTTCTACTAAGGGTGTGTTTGTTTGGGGGATTGGATTTTAAATCCACTATTCATCCCATTTCCCTCCCCCCCAAAAACATCAAATCAAACACGTATTTTTTATTTTTTATATTATACGAAAAATCAATTTTACATCCAAAACATCACATCAACACCTATTTATATCACATCATACAACTATTCAAATTCAAAATTTTTCCTATTCAAATTCCAACTCAAAATCCAAACCCTCAAACAAACACACCCTAAATATATTATAAAATTACCACAGGTTGCAACTTGCAAATCTATTATGTGCAATAAATGAAAGATGTGAAAAATGTTTATAAAGAATAAAGTACAATATACAACATGGTCTTAACTGTATATAAATGTCTAACAAATAGAAGAGAAGGCAATAGGGCCTAGCAAGCTAATTCATTTTCCCCTTTCATTTATTTAATAATTCATATGACTAAGAAAAGAATAAATAAAGAAGTTTTAAGAATATCATATTGAATACAATTGTAAGTATATAAACAAAGACATGCAATCAGATCGTAATCTATATCTGTTATTATATATAATGATTTCTTTCAAAAAATAAAAATAAAATGAAGACAAATGAATATATATAAACAAGCATAAAGAGCATTATATTAGCATGTTCATAGTCATTATATAATATACATATTTTGGTTTAATAATGAACAATAGTATTTTTTTTATACTCATTTGATTGCTTCATAAAAGCAACATTACAAATGGTTCGTGCATTGACTTCCCTAATCTTGCAATTTTCATGGATTTTAATAGAGAGCCAATATTAGGGTGTGTGCTTATATTGTTATTCTGAGCATAACTATGCCTGAAGAAGACCTGAACATTTGTTCATAATATTATCAGATTTGCTCTTGACATTGATCTTGATGCTCCAAAAGTTAGAGTTCCCTTAAGATCTTCCACATCCAGTGAAAATGAGAGCCATCTTCTATTAGATTTTGGGCATTTCACCCTACAAACAAAGGTATTTAATTTGTATTCATCTCTGGATTTGCTTGTATCTCACAGAAGATATGGTTAACCATTTTGTGTAAATTATAGGAGGATGGTCAACTGCATGATAATGGTCACAGTCTATACTCACGTTTCCATATATCTGGAAGGGATATCACTGCGTTCTTTACAGCTTGTGTTTCTAAAGAGCAATTTTTCAATTGGCAATCTCAACCTCCCATTTCTTGTTCCGAAGATGCGGACAAATACTATTCTTTGATTGATCCTTGTGGAATGTCTGTGATTGTTGATCAGGTATATTATATCAAGCAATATTTTATTAAGTTTCTATGATTTGTAATTGGTGTTGATATGTACTGTTTTGACCGCTAAGATTAAGGTACCACATCCGTACCATCCTGCAACAAGTGTATCAGTTGAAATCCCACGCCTTGGGATACACTTCTCTCCTGAAAGATATTCCAAGCTTAATGAATTGTTGAATATACTCTATGGTGCAATGCCTAATGATGATCAGCACACTGTAGAAAACATCCAAACTGGTATTATACCATGGAATCCCCCTGATCTGGCAACTGAGGCCCGAATTATAGTATGGAAGGTATGTTGATATCTTGATACCATGTACCATACAGATTAGTTATTTATCTATTTATGTGACTTATTAGTTATTTATTGCTTTGAATCGGTTTGAATAATTTTTGTGCAGGGGATTGGTTATTCAGTTGCTGCACTGCAACCTTGTTTTCTTGCTTTATCTGGATTATACCTTTATGTTTTGGAATCTGAAACATCACAAAGCTATCAACGATGCACGAGGTCTTGCCTCCTCCATGTTCTATTTGTATTATGATGATATTTTTTTGGAATGCTGGTTGAACAACTGTCTGTCTGAAATTTAATTTAATGCTTTGACCTTTGAAAGTAATTTAGTAATCTGTTTTTTTCTCATTTTAACTTCTGGAACTGCAGCATGGCTGGGAAGCAAGTATTCCATGTTCCTCCCTCCAATGTTGGTGGTTCTCCTTTTTGCGTTGCTATTAGCATTAGAGGCATGGATATCCAAAAGGTAGGTGATGTTTTTGGTGTTATGTCAATAACAGGATTACTCTAGCTAGTTTATTCAGTATACATCCTATAATATTGAATTGAAAATGGTCTTAGATTGAGAATTTCGCTGTTATTTTATTTTTATTCTTTTAATGTTTATTTATTTCTTGAAGAGAGGGTATGTAGAGTAGTACATTGGACAAGAGTTAGAGCCTATTAGCAAAACAAGCATAAGCTAGAGATGTAAATAAGGAGAACACTGAATAGCAAAGTAAAAACCTATGGAAAAAATGAAAGCTTCTTGCCACCATGAGCACCGTGCTTGGCGAAAAAGTCCAGAGGTCATTGCACTTTTAGTAGTGTATTGGAGAGAGACTTAAGGCACTAAGAGATGGATTCAAGTGCCACAACCAATTTCTGTCAAAATTAAGTTTCCACGGGGCAAAGGCCTTTCATCTACGTCATTTTTTAAGTCACACTCAATTTTGGGGAGTGACCCTAGTTTGCCCAATCAATAAGCACTCTGTAAAAGATTGTGAAATTATCATTAGAAAATTTACATAGCACAATATATATATATATATAGTTTAAAATAGGCCTAAACTAACCATAAATAAAGGGCCTAATCTAACACTCCATCTCAAGCTAGGTGTATAAATCATACAATCCAAGTGTATTACTTATGAACTCGGATTTAGAACCTCTAAGAGTCTTTGTCGAATGTTTGCAAGCTAATCAATTGAGGAAGTATAGGTGTGTTTGGTTACTGGTTATATTTCTATTGATACTATGCTCCCAATATTTTTTCCCCTAAACCCTAATCTAACACTCCATCTCAAGCTAGGTGTATAAATCATACAATCCAAGTGTATTACTTATGAACTCGGATTTAGAACCTCTAAGAGTCTTTGTCGAATGTTTGCAAGCTAATCAATTGAGGAAGTATAGGTGTGTTTGGTTACTGGTTATATTTCTATTGATACTATGCTCCCAATATTTCCCCAAATATTATATCATATGCTATCCACTTAAAATTTTCTATTTCTATCACTCTCTTCAATAAACAAATATTCTATCTATACACATTCAAAGATTTTTATTTTTATAAAATTAATTTATGTTAATCATAAATAAATTTTATTTATATTATATAAAATTTTAATGATATCTATATTGTATATTGAAATATAGTTTTTAAAATATTTATATATATTTTAAAATTCTTTTAATCACATATATGTTATATCTAAACCAAATATTAACTAAATAAATCACTTCTAGTCCAACTTCCTTCTTAAAACTGAATCGGTAACCAAACACACCCTATATTTGGTATCTATATATATCCATATAACACTTTTTCTATTACAGTGACAATTTTATTCAATATGCTTTGTTTGTTCGTGAAAGACTGGGCTTGATGCAATGTATAGTGTTGTGTAGTTATTACGCCACAACTTCATCTTCGTCATCTTACAAAACTTGCGTTCAGAAAGTAATTGTTTAACCTAGAGGAGTTCACATATAACTAAGGCCATAGCAAGATGCTCAGCTTCAACATTAGAATGCACAACCACATCTTGCTTCTTATTTTCACATAATATCAAATTGCCTATCAATGTGAGACCTGCTCACTCAGTATTGGAATTTTCAACAATTTCAAAGTTATCATGATTTATATACTGTAAGCATTTTTCGGAGGTGATAGTGAGTGATAGATACAATAACACAATTTGCTCAGAAGAAGAACTAATCTCCTCTAACCAGTTGTAGCCGCCTTACACTAATTATTTTGGATAATCTCCTCTAATCCTAATTACTATTTATTTATATCAACTCATTAATCTAATTATAAATAAGATTAAGGACTAATTTGCAATGACATAATAAAAATACCAAATAATTGATCTTGACTAACATAATAAGTAATACTACGTTAATGAAACGATTAGACCAAAGTTTTCTTTTCTGCATCGGCTATAGACTCGCAGCGGTACCAGGGCCGTTGTTTCCGGTGCTTGCACTTGCGGTTGTTTCATATCAACTCTATTCCTCTCCAAAAAAGCCTTGCAGTCCCCGACTACTCTTTTTACTGGATGGTCCCCGACAAGGCTTTTTCAGAGGGGAATAAAGTTAATATGGAACAACTGCAAGTGCAAGCACCAACTACAATGGCCCCGATACCACTGCATGTCTATACCCGACGCAGAAAATGACACTTTGGTCTAATCGTTGTATTACCGTAGTATTAGTTATTATGTTAGTAAAATGGTCAATTATTTGGTATTTTTTTATGTTCTCCTTGCAAATTAGTCATTAATCTTATTTATAATTAGATTTATAAGTTATATAAATAAATGGTAATTAGAGTTAGAGGGGATTATTCAAAATAATTAGTGTAAAGCTTCTACGGCTAGGCAAAGGAGATTAGTTCTTCTTCAGAGTAATAAATTAGTTCTTAATTCTATCAAATTGGTTCGACCTGCGGGATCGGTTTGAGATGTCGATTACAAAGGATGCAAAAATTGTGAAAATAGAGAATACATTGGGTGTGGTCTGTGAGGAGCAGCGAGACATTCGACAAAAACTGGAAGCACTGAATGTATCCTTTGCATCACAACAAGAAGCAATACAAAAGCAGACCGGAAATCCTTTCCGTTGTACCATATTAGTGATATACTTGAGCTTCCTAACTAGCCTTCTATATCGTTCAATATCAATCAAGGGCTCCACTTGTTCAAGAAGCAACTTTATATTTGGATCCGTAATAGAATCCACAACCTTACATTCAGTCGTTTCTTCCAACATGAGGATCATACTTTCTTTGATATAGGATTACACTATTTTATTATGCAATCTCAATTCTTAAGAATACTGTAGTGGTCTCAATCCTGTGGCATCCGTATCATCCCAAATGATGAAATATCATCAGCATAGACTACCAAGTAAATTCACCCTATTTCTAGGGTATGCTTATAGAATGTTTATGATCAAGACAAACATTGTGTTATCCCAAAATCCTGATTATCAAGATAGAAATGTCTAAACCATTCTCGTGGAGATTGTTTTAATCCATAAAGTGAGCAATGAAGGCGAAAAATGAGACTGGACACTCCCCCCCAGCAACAAAGCCAAGCAGTTGCCCCATATGCAACTCCTTTAAGTTCACCATGTAATGAGGCATTTTTTTTGTAACGTAGTAGCCGCCGTAAATATGAAAAAGACGAACAAAAGACATCTTGCCAACGGGAAAGAAAGCGTCCCTCTACTCCTCCATATATACTTGAATAAAGCCCTTCTTGACAAGCCGAACTTTGAGATGATCAATGCGACCGTTAGGGCCCATCGATAAGTTATGAGTGTCTTTTTCAGCAGCAACAGAACCAACTCCTAAGTACCATGCAAAGTAGATATTTCTTCTACCATAGTCTAACACCACCCTAAATGGCTCAAAGTCTCATGCCAAGAGAGGAGAAGGAAAGAGATAATGGTGGTAGCTAAGAAAAAGGTAAACAAGATTAGGGTTATGAGTTGACCGAGTACCTCGACGCAAGGTAATAAGTGATGGTCAAGCTGTAGCTAGGGAAAAAATGGAACCAAAATTGAGTCATCAATAGGTCTATATGATAGGAAGGTAGGTATATTTTGATGATGCCATGTATATCTTGAATGGAAGCCATAGGTATTGATGATGGAAACGATGAAGAACGTGACAACTAAAAGAATATGATTCTTGAACTAATGTAATATTGACGAGTGAAAATAGAATAACACCAATAATCTTTTCGAATAGGAGAGTATCCAAGGGAAATATATTTGATTGATTGAGTAGGTAATTTGTCCAAACCAAGAGAATGATCATGAACAAAACACATAGACAGATACGGAAGAAATATTAAGTCACATTAGGCTAAAACCAGGTAATGGGAATGTTATGACCTACGGAGAAGACAAAAGGATAAGGCGATTAATGAATAACCCCTTGAGAAGACACAAAATCACTATCGCTCCTCAAAACCTTAATAGACAGTCGAGAGTCTCGGTGGTGGCGTGCAACGGTAGGAGGTGGTCTTCTCACTATGGTTGGAGGCACAGGTGGACTAGAAATTGGATTATGGTGTTGGCTGGGTGAAAAACTGACTAACATTAGCACGAGAGTGAAACTAGGGTTTTTTTTAACCCAAACTAGGGTTTCTAGGGCCTAGCGATTGCGGTGCTAAACCGTAAGAGGTTAACCCTAGGGTTTGATATCATGTAGAAGTTTATTGTATCATCACTAGAAAATTAAGTTACATAAAACAATATATACATAAATACATATATATATTTGAAAATGGGCTAAATCATAAATAACAGCCTAATCTAACAACTTTGCATTGTTTGGGTTGGCAAAGTTAGTGTATTTGGAGGGAATAAAGATAGCATGACGAAGATGATGGCAAATAACTTCTCCAATGCATGTTCTTGATCTCCACAAGTTATTTGAGTTCTTGATGTCCATGAGTTTGGTTTGTTCCTTTTGTTTTGATTGGTTAAGTGTAATAATTAATTCTTTTTTAACATAATCTTTCTCTAAACTTGGGATTTTTTTGGTGAGAATTATTATTTCTTCAAGGCATTGTGTTTTGTCACTGCAATTTCTGTGTTACTTTCTGCTGTAACTTATTTTGCAGTTAATACTCTTTCTTCTTCTTTTACTTCTATAAAAAGGTTCTGGAGTCTTTCAGTACGCTGATAGTGGAATTCAGGAATCAGGAGGAAAAAACAATTTGGTTTAGAGAACTTGTTAAAAGGACGTACCGTGCTTCTGTAAGATATGAAATCATTGCCTTGTTCTGTGTCTTTCAAGTATATATGTATAATCATTTTTTTTAATATACATATACATATATACATATGGATAAAGGCTCCTCCTTCAGTTGATATGCTCGATGAATTAAGAGATGATCCAATTGAGTTTACGGAGTCTCATGCCCGTAATGCGCGCGCAGCTGATCTTGTTGTCAATGGAACAGTTGTAGAAACTAAACTGTCGTTGTATGGAAAGGTTGGATTATTTTTTATATCTTGATTACCTCCACTTCCAACTACTGTCATTTCCAAATGCTAGTTATGATGTACATGCACTCCGTTAAGAATCATGTTCCTGATTCCTTTTTTGTTATTGTAAGTTGATTGTTTTTGAAGATCCTTATTGAGGCATAAGCATGTTTGACCCAGTTACATTTTTTACCTACCTAAGAATCATTCTCTTCTATATGTTCTTTTCATTCTTTTCCGTTATTTATTTACTTTTTCCCTAAGAGTTTAAAAACCCTATTATACTGACATTCATTGAGTACATGGGAAGTTCAAAAGAGACAGCATAAAACAGCAAATGCTGGAAGAATCTCTAATTTCACATTCTGAGCTTCTGATAGATCATCTTTCCTTTTCCTTTTGATTTGCAGCTTAGGGATGATGAGCATGTGGAGACGCATGAGAAGGTGATCATTGAAGTTCTTGCTGGTGGAGGGAAGGTCAGTAAATGATTTTGCTTCTTTCATCCTGAAAATGCCATCCCTGATTTCTTTGAATCTTGAAGATTAATCTTCTTACAAAGCTTATTTCTTAGTAGTTTACTAAAATTTGTGTTCTATCTTGTGATATGTGAGAGCTCCTTGGGTGACTTGCAAAGTGTAGCATCAAATGGAGAGGACTTCATTGCTTGGCTATGAGACTCCTCAACTCGAAACGTTTATCTATTTTAATTTAATCCAACTCAAATGCTTTGGTCTTTTGGGTGTTTTTTAGCTTCTGGTTTTCATTTTTTACTTTCTAAAAGTATGCAGCTACAATTTTGTTTTCTCTCTAGTAATAAATTGCTTACTTTCCAAAAGGTATAAGAATGTTAGTTCATTTGTGATTAATTACTGTGATGTGAGTGCATCAATTTTGCTTATTATTTATGAGGCCAATAAGATTTCTGGTCTATGTTGTCTCATTTTAATTGGCATGCAACATATCTTTGGTTGTTTGACTTTGAGAAATGTGGATCAATTTATTTGTAGATTAGCGTTAACTTGTGTTCAGGAGCTTTTGATTTTAAGATTCAGTAACCTAGGGTTTGTTTGGTTGTGGTTTGAAATTGATTTGATATTAGGTATTGATTTTATTTTTTGTTTAAATAATATTTTGATGTGATGTTTTGTGAGAAGAAATAGTGAATTTTTATTGGGAACCGTCCAGGCTAAATAGTGTGTTTTTTATTTGAAATAAAAAACAAACACGCCCTTAGTGAAGAATTTATGAGATGTACTATTGATTTTGTTATGCAACTGCTTCTGTCTGGTGTCTTTGTGAGCAAGTACAATTTCTAGTTTTATTTATTTTTCTGTTCTATGTTGTTACATTTCAATTTTCGTAATTTTCTCTATTCAAACTCTTTTACAATGTTGAGGTCTTCTTCCTGTGCAGACAATTTTCATGCATTTCTTGGTATTTCCTGTAGGTTCATGTCTGGAAGTGTACAAATGATTTAACTGTAAAAGTGAAGCTGAATTCTTTGAAAATACGGGATGATCTACAGGGTTCCTTTTCTACGTATTCCCAGTATTTAGCTTGTTCTGTTGCCCCTGATAGGAATTCACACAGTTCAATGGATTATTTAGAACCTGAAAATGAACACTTCACTATGACACTTGAGGAGGATGATATCTTCAGAGATGCTTTGCCAGATTTCACCAGTTTGCATGACTCTTCTGAAACTGCTCTCCTTGACAAGGATCTATCAAAGGGAAAAATTACACTCCCTGACATTTTTTATGAGGCTATGAGCTCTGATGATTCTGATTTTGTGTCTGTTACATTCATGACAAGGAACCCTAGTTCCCCTGATTACAATGGTATAGATACACAGGTAATCCTTTGAGGGAGCTTTAAAAGAAAACTAATTTGACATTTGATATTACATCTGCATATGTTGTGTGCTTGAATAATGTTTTAAAATTTTCAGATGAGTATTCGAATGTCAAAGCTGGAATTCTTTTTCAACAGAACCACTCTTGTTGCTTTGATCAACTTTGGTGTTGATATAAGCTCCAAGGGGAACGGGGCTTCTGGTACAAACATTGAAAACTGTAATGAGGAGCCTTTGGGAAACAAAAATAAAAGAGAAGAGCATGGACATTCATCATCGATTAAAGGACTGCTAGGTCAGGGAAAAGTCCGGGTTGTTTTTTATTTAAACATGAATGTTGATAGTGTCACAATCTTTCTCAATAAGGAGGATGACTCTCAACTTGCTATGTTTGTGCAAGAAAGCTTTCTTTTGGATATTAAGGTACTAGAATATTCTGTCATATTTGATTAGGTAACCTACCTTTACTATATAGTTTCCTCTGCTTAATAGCTGACCATCATGAGAAATTTTGCTTTATTAGGTTCATCCAAGTTCAACTTCTATAGAGGGAACTTTAGGAAACTTAAGGTTGTGTGATTTATCGCTTGGGTTGGATAACTGTTGGCGTTGGCTTTGTGATCTACGAAACCAAGGAGCTGAATCGCTCATACAGGTACCTAAATACATGTATTGAATTGCCATTTGCTCTTATTTCGTACTAATTTGACCGCCTCTTGGACTATTTCCAGTTTGCATTCAATTCCTACAACGTTGAAGACGATGATTATGAAGGATATGACTATAGTTTGAGTGGTCGGCTGTCTGCTGTTCGCATTGTTTTTCTTTATCGGTTTGTTCAGGAGGTAACTTCCTGCTCTAATATTTTCTCTGTGATTACACAATACATCTCGTTCTAGTTTGACATAACTTCTCATATTCCACCAAGTTTTTTCTATGTAATCTTGGAATGTGAAAGCTTGATTAGGCATAAAGATCAATTTATCAAAAGCTTTTGAAATGGTGTGGTTATCAATGCTATTCTCTGTCTCTTCTCTCTCTTAAAGAGAAAGGATTCAATATATCATGATGACTATGAAGAGTACAGTGGAAAGAAAATAGAATCTCTTAGCAGACAAGTGTAGACTAGAAAATGCATTTATTGCAAGCTTTGTATAGCAGAAATAACTAGCTCGAAAGAAAGCTCTTCACCAACCCGAGCACCATGCTTAGGATATTGTCCCCTTGGTGAAGAAGCTTAATACCCCAATCAACATACCCTATCAAATATTGTCCTTCATTAGAAAATGTTGGGAAACTCCCCTAGCTTATAAGGGTGAAGGGCTAGACTCCTTAGTACCAATTGGTTTTAAGTTAGAACTCCAATTCCTTCTTGATATAGGTATCAAAACCATGGTGTCTGTATTGGGTATTGATTTTGGTTAGGATTTCGAGATGATATAGGAAACTCCCCTAGCTTATAAAAGGTGAAGGCTATTCCAATTAATACTAATTAGTTTTAAGTTGGAACTCTGATCCCTTTTTAACCCCCCCACATAAGTGGCTATGGATACCACAAGTAAGGTTGCTTGACTCTAGAGTCCAACGATAAGATCACTAGGTAAATGTGCCTTCTGACGCTAATTCCAAAATCCTTTCATTCTGATTTGAAGAGAAGTTTGATGATATTAGCTCTTTAAAATCTCCAAGAGTTCCTTTCCCTGGTGAAGAAGCTTGATATGCCAATCAACATGCCCTTGCTCCCTTGCCTATAACTTTGAATAAAACCTATTTTCGAATTGGCAACAGCATAAATATGGCTAAAAGCAATCATCATGCTGAAATCTTGTTTTGCTACCATTTCCGATCCAACAACGAAGGGCGTGTTTGGTTAGCACTGCACCCTTTTTTTATATTGTGCAGTAATGTTTTCCCAAAAATCCCGCCTAAGCGTGGCGTGAGAATCTCAATGCAGTCGCCGAGGATGCTTCAACCATTCCATATCAGTTCACCATCTTGTCATCTGTCATGCTCTGCACTCTGTTTTTTATATTAACCAATTTTTTTTTAAAAAGAAAATTTATTTCCATAATACCAAACAAAATTAAAAATAATCTATAAAAGACATTATATTATATTATTATACTTAAATTTATTTATTATTTTTTATTCAAAACATCACTTAATCAATATATTAAAATTTAATTAACTAACTATCAATCAATATATCATTATTGTAATAACCAACTTACAACCAAACACCAATTCAAACTTCTCAATTCAAACTCAATCAAAAAATCCAACCCAACTCAAATTCCAATTTACAATCAAATGCGCACTCCAAGGTTTACCTCTAAAGAACAAGGCCAGAATCTGCAGATGGAAGCCTGCGCACCAAAAAAGATCCATCATGTTGAGAATCAATGGCCGACTGACTGATTGTAAGATAAGGCGAAAAAAATTAGTTTTATGAGTTTGAGCATATATCCTTTACATGCCATGATATTGAGCTTGAGCAAATGCAAGTTGGCTTTAGGGACCTTAATTTAAATCCTTACTCATATTAATAAGATTTCTTCTTTGTTGGAGATCCATTGAGCACAATATATAAAACAAAAATAGTAGGTGCCATAAGTGATTCTTCAAGAGTTCCTATACCCTTGAGAAAAGGCAGTTCATTGTCAATTTCATGACTATTTAGACTTAGTTATGCTGCTTACATGTACTGAAGGTTTATAATATCTTCTTTTTGACTTATTTCTTCCAAGGCTGTTACTAATTACCATACTGCTTTTTAGAAGAAAAAAACACTTATTATCAATAATACGGAAATTTCATAGAGAAAATAACCATGGGATTGGCATATCTGATCTTTTCCATTCTGGGAAGAGGATCATGATTAAATATGTTGAAAGATGATGCAGGGGCATCTAGAGATTTGTCGAATCTGGAGCTATCCCAAAAATTGTTGGTTATGCTGTCATGCTGTTGAGTTGAAGATGTGAATTTCATGATAATTTTATACTTAGAAAGCAAGTGGGATATTTATGGACAGGAATTTTGATCTACACCAATCCTCAATCAAAAGATGCAAAAAGTACAGTACTGTAGGGCATAATATGCTATGAATTGTAACAAACTGTTGATCCTTTAGAGTTAGTGACAGTGATAGGCCAATGTTGGATTGAAAAAAGCATGCTTTGAACATTTGAAAGGTTTGCTCTTTAATCAAAATACAATGTGATGCAAATAATTGTGTCTTCCACAATGGGATCTAATAAGTGAGATATCAAGCAAGTGTTTAGATAATCTTCTTCTGTCCGAAGAAGCGGATAATATTGCCGATAAATAGAAGTACGTCTCTTACAGAAGTACATAATCATATTCTGTAATGTTGAGTACCAAGCATCATATAATTTTTATTTGTATTATTTTCTTCTCTTATAAACCCTCTCTTGCAATTTAATCAACCTGGCTTAAAAGAAATGTCTTCTCTAATATTTTTGCAAGTGCTTGTTGCTTCTGTGGTTCTAACTGATCTGGTGGACTATATGTTTAGATAACTGCTTACTTCATGGAGCTTGCTACACCACACACTGAAGAAGCGATTAAACTCGTTGATAAAGTTGGAGGAATAGAATGGCTTATTCAAAAATATGAGGTTGATGGAGCATCCGCTCTAAAATTGGATCTTTCACTTGACACTCCCATAATAGTTGTTCCTCGGAATTCACTAAGCAAAGAGTGAGTTTTCCACTTCTTCTGTTTTCATCTGTTTTAGTATCACTACAATTTTACATTAAATTTTACTTTGTCTATGAATATATGCAGTTATGCACACAATATCCAGTTATAATTTTGCTTGATGAGAATTCGTTTGGTTATTTATATACAATATCTAGTTCCCTACATGTCTCTTTAACCTGCTTTTTGATTCACTGATTGATGTTTTCGTTGTCTATACTTTTCTGTGCTTTACTTCTGTTCTTTTAACTGTTCAAAAATTTAAAAAATCTATGTAGGGTGTGTTCGTTTGTAGGATTTAATCTAAATTCTACTATTCATCCAAAAATTTCCCCCCAAAAACATCAAATCAAACACCTATTTTTCATTTTTTATATTATATTAAAAATCAATTTTACATTCAAAACATCACATCAACACCTATTTATATCACATCATACAACTATTCAAATTTAAAATTTTTACTATTCAAATCTCAACTCAAAATCCAAACCCCCAAACAAACACACCCGTATTAGAACAATCAGTTTCATGTTGAAGTTATTGTGAGTTAGTTTACATATTCTTCATTTTACAGTTTCATGCAACTTGATCTTGGTCATCTCTGCATCAAAAATGCGTTCAGCTGGCACGGATGCCCTGAGAAAGATCCTTCAGCTGTCCATCTTGATGTTCTTCATGCAGAGGTGTTTTAAATTAATAATTTATAGTGGTAGTATTTCACTTATTAGCCTTTTCCCTGAATTCCTCTTCGTAAATACAGCTATTAGGAATCAATATGGCGGTTGGGATCAATGGTTCCATTTGTGAACCAATGATTAGGGAGGGAAGAGAAGTCCATGTTTATGTGAGGCGCAGTTTAAGAGATGTCTTTCGGAAGATCCCGACACTCTCTTTGGAAGTTCGGGTAATTTTCAATTATAAATTTTTCAGATCCTGCTTCTTGGTTGCTGTTTATTTTACGCCATCCTGTAAATTTCTGTTGGCTTTATTTTGCATTTATTTTAGAAAGTTTAATATACATCAATATGATTATGAGGGTTTTTTTCCTTTATCCATTCTAACACTTTTTTTTGGAAAGACTTCTTACTCTATTCACCATGCTGAATTTTGTTATGGGATTTTAAACTTCATTAGTAGCTACATTGAAGTCACTTTGCTAGTGAAATCGAATGTTTGGCCACTAATTTTTATCTTTTGCTTACCCAAGTAGCCTCGCTGCATTTGAATACATTATGTACATTCCAGATAATCTTCAGAGCTCATTATCCCCTGAACATTTCTCTCTCTCTCTCTCTCTCTTCCCTGGAAAGTTGATAGATTTATTTGTCAAATTTAGTTACCTAGATTCAGAAAGTGAAAAATTCTAATGCCTCTACTCCACGTAAGATCTAAAGAACCATTCTACTCCACATACAATAACAAGGAAAGGAACATAAGCATTTTAAACACAGTCACACAGTGGACAAGATAGCTAACAAGACTAGCTAGAATCAAGTGGAGATTTCTGCACTACCCTAAGAACCACATTTTACCAAAAACTCAGCAAGCATTTTGAACTTCTAGGCACTTGGTGGATGATGACTAGATGCCATCTGAAGATCAAGTGCATTTACATCAAATTTAAAATTTCCATGAGCCATCCAAGGGAATTTGTAGAATCACATTCAACCTCCAGATTGGGAGTTGGCTTAACTAGCCTTTCATTTCACAGTGAAAAATGTAGACATCTGCCAAGATTTACACATCACTTGAGTTGCAAAATCCACTTTGGACATAATGAATATGACAACCTAAGAACTCAGCCTAGCATTTTGAACTTCTAGGCACAGGTGACTAGAGGCCATCTGAAGGTCAAGCGTGTTCATGTCAAAATTAAAATCTTGGGGGCTGGCTTTAACTAGCCTTTGATGATGCACAAAAGAATGTGGACAATAGCCAAGATTCTGCATCATTTGAGTTGCTAACTCCAATGGATTTGGAAAATGAAAATGACACGCTAATGATGGTCACTAATAATTGCACCAATACCAGCTTGACCTAGTTTACCAACGGCTGCCAAAATTGTTATTGAACTAATCAAAGGGTTAGATGGATAAATGTGGTAATTTTCTTGCAACTTGGTATTTTAGGACTGATTTAGTTATGTTATTATGTACTATGGTATATTTGAGATGAAGAGCTTAATAACCCTGCAAAGAAGTCCTTTCCATTCGTAGCTCCACGCTTAGCAAGGAAGTCATGAAATGTGATAGTTGGTAGTATAGAGATGATATGTCACAACTCTTTAATTTCAAAACTGAGCTTCCATGAGAGCTGTTGCTGTGAATCTATCCACGAGCATTTGTTACAATCGCATTCTCCTGTAATTTGAGTTAAATGTCCGGTTTGCTTGTTAAAAGAATGGTTTAGAAATGAATGATAGACAATATGTCCACATGATTAGAGTACGCAATGCTTAACAATTTTGACATTAAGAAGATAATATGCCCATAATAATATCTAATAACGCTACCAATGTCTGTCGGACTTGGCATTCTGTACTCAGTAAATCTTTGAGAGGTTTAGGGAATAGTTCCAAATATGCATCTACAAGGGACAATAAACAAATAAATAAAGAATTTTGGCTGAATATGGTACATAGTGCAAACAATATCTGCTAATAGGAATCCTCAAAATCATGCTTGAAAGTGACTCAACGAATGCCCTTTCTGCATATCTTGTTCCTTAGACCTAATAGTTTTAGTCCCTAAACTCGGCCCTATGTGTTTGGGGCCCTTATTTTTCAGTGTCTTTCCATCTATCAGGAGCTGCTACGTTCATGGATTGTAATTTATCCTATCTTTTATGGTACTAAAATTTTAACTTTACAAACAATGAAAAATAAAATAATAATAATAATAATAGTAATAATAGTAATCATAATAATAATAAATAAATAAATTTTTTTGCAATATTAATTCTATTAACTTTAATGAAACTGGAATCTGAAAAATACCTAAAGGCTTTGTTTAGCCAATATCTACTTATTTGTCCTCTTGGGTGCTGGAAATGATTTTCAGTTGTCCATTCTTCCCCTTTTGATTGGATTCTTTTTATATATGATTCTATGGAGTATAGCCAGAATCCTTTCTGTTGATGAAGTCTTTTCTATGTTTCTACCATTTTATATATGCTTACTGTGGTATTACTGTGGAACAGGTAGGTACATTGCATGCGGTGATGTCTGATAAAGAATACAGTGTTATTCTTGATTGTTTCTTAATGAACTTGTGCGAGCAACCGACTCTTCCCCCTAGTTTTCGCAGTGGCAAGTCTTCAGCAAAAAATACAATTAGACTGTTGGCTGATAAGGTTAACATGAATAGCCAGGTTCTTTTGTCGCGTACTGTTACCATTGTGGCCGTTGAAGTTGACTATGCATCCTTAGAACTTTGTTACGGCACTGATAAGGAATCACCTTTGGCTCATGTTATTGTGAGTATAGTTGCAGTTTTGATATGTGTATTTTGTGTTTGTATATTTATCCAATGTAACATATTCTTGCTCACATGTTAATGTATTTTCTGTATTGCAGCTTGAAGGCCTTTGGGTTTCATACCGCATGACATCATTATCAGAAGCTGACCTATATATTACAATACCTAAGTTCTCAATTTTAGATATTCGTCCCAATACGAAGGCTGAAATGAGGCTGATGCTTGGTTCCTGCGCTGAGGTCTCAAAGCATATGTCTCTGGAACGCGATACTGATTTACCGAACTCGACAATGTTTTTAATGGATGGAAGATGGAGACTCTCATCACGATCATTTGTAGTTCGAGTGCAGCAGCCTCGTGTTCTTGTTGTTCCTGATTTTCTTCTTGCTGTCTGTGAGTTTTTTGTGCCAGCACTGGGGACGATAACCGGCAGGGATGAAATGACAGATCCCAAGAATGACCCAATTTGTAAGAAAAATCATATTGTGCTTTCTACTCCAGCATACAAACAGATAGAAAATATAGTGGAGCTCTCTCCTAGTAGACAGCTTGTAGCAGATGCTCTTGGGATTAATGAATATGTCTATGATGGCTGTGGTAAGACAATACGTTTCTCCATTGAGAAAGAAGTGAAAGGACAGCATTTATCCATCCCTAGGCCTATAATTATAATAGGGCGGGGTAAGACATTGAGGTTCTTAAATGTTAAAATTGAGGTATTGTTACTCTTTCTATCTTCTTATTTTTATTTTTTTATTCTATGCTGTTTATGTTTTATTACTTTGTTTTCTTCTGTAGAATGAATGTAGTTTTTCCTAATTTTTCTAGTGTTAGAAACATGGTTGTTGTAATGCATTGCAGACAAGAAGGCCTTAAAATTATTTTTAAACAGCTGTCATTTTCTCCCTCTAGAACTTGTATATGAATATTTTGTTTTCTTTTTTTCTTCAGTAGACAAGTGATCTTAAGTCATCATGGTTCTCGGTGCGGATGGTTTTTTGTTTTTAAAAAGTGGTTGAATGTGATGTTTTATAGAAATTGGGCGTTGGATGTGATGTCTTTAGAAAGAAAATAATAGTTTAGACTGGTAAAATTGGGGAAAAGAGAACTTACCCAGTGTTTGCAATCTTCATGACCCCTATAAACGGGTCTCCTGTAATGTATCAAGAACCATGATCTATTTAATGATTTATTGAAGCCCTTTTTCCATTTTTTGGGGTATATAGTGGGATGTTCTCATGCTGTCTTCCTGTTTGAATTAAATAATTTGACTTTTATGTGCTTGTTCTTTAGAATGGCCTACTGTTGAGGAAATATGCATATTTGAGCAATGATAGCTGCTACTCGATATCCCCTGAGGATGGCGTTGAAATCATTGTAAATGAGAATTCTCTGGATAGAAGTGCTGTAGATTTGGATGATTTGGAAGGATTGTCCGAAACTTCACACGCACCCGGCACTGATCAATGTGAATCAAGTAAACTGCCAAGCCTCAGTTTTGAGGCTCAGGTAGACAGCCTTAATCTCTTATGGCATTATGTTTGATATTAGATATGATGCTTTTGTCAGTGTTATTTTATTGCTTATTTTATTTTAGTGGATGAATAAAATACTGTATATTCAATGATTTGTTATTTAACTGCATTTGGCTGTGTAACTAGCGTTCTATTTGGCCATTTTTTATCTTCAGATAGAAATGATTTGTGTTTGCCCTTTTAAGTCCGGCCAATTTAATTCAATGGTTGAACTTTATCCTATGTCTGCATTTTCAATTGCTTTACTTTTTTCTTTTCAGGTTGTATCTCCTGAATTCACTTTCTATGACAGCAGCAAGTCATTCTTGGATGATTCTACACACGGTGAAAAGCTTCTACGTGCGAAAACTGACTTCAGCTTCATGTGAGTCTCTCTGTCTCTCTTTGAGGAAGGTAAAAATATACTTATATTAGAAAGAGAGACACAGAGGTAAGGCACCCGGAGGGGGAGGAACCAACTACAGCCAAACCATTAGTTCTCAAGTTCTTATTTTTTATGGTGTTCACTGCATTCTGCTTGCTATAGGGGAGAGCTTTTTGATTGGATAACATTGCATTCAACTCATGGCTTGGTGGTTGACTTTTTTTTTATATGGATGTTTTATTCATTAGCTCTCAGAATGTGTAAATATTTGTGACTTTGGATACAGAATCTATTTTTATAGTGTGGGTGCTTCATCTACTTTTGCTATGGTGGATGCCTTTGTTTATTATGTACATGTAGTATATTCTAGTTTTGAGTTTCTTTCTATAGCTCACTAATTTAGTGGAAAACATAACTCCTTTTTTCGTGCTATTTGATGCCCAAATGTATGTTAAATTTCTCGTTTCTTTGTTTCTGTGTAGGTATGCATCAAAAGAAGAAGATAAATGGATAAGAGGTCTTCTCAAGGATTTAATTGTGGAGGCTGGTTCTGGTCTTGTTGTTCTTGATCCAGTTGATGTGTCTGGGGGATATACTTCTGTGAAGGATAAAACAAATATATCACTAATGTCTACAGATATTTATGCTCATCTTTCCTTGAGTGTAATTTCCCTTTTGCTAAATCTACTCAGCCAGGCTTCAACTGCCTTGCAATTTGGAAATGCTGACCCCCTATGCCCATGTACCAATTTTGATCGAATATGGGTGTCTCCAAAAGGTTTGTCTTTTTCTTACTTTATATTTAGGATATATCTGCAGCCTGATACAATGTATTTTATCCACAGAAAATGGTCGTCTCAGCAGTCTGACATTTTGGAGGCCACGAGCTCCCTCAAACTATGCTATTTTGGGAGACTGTGTGACATCAAGGTGATTGTGGAGGACCTATTCAATTATCTCTCTGTTATTTATATAATCTAACCTATGCTAGCTATGCTGAAATGCACTAGAAACTTGTAGCCATATCTATCTTTTTGTGCATGACCACTTGTGTCATCATAGTTGTCAATCTCGGTTGCAGTCAACCCTAACGCGCTATAGCAGGATTGTACGTAGCTGGATGAGTGCTATTTAAACATTTAATGGTTCATATAGAAATTATTATAGATACAAATTACAATTATAATGCAGAAAAAGATACATGAATTAATCCCATGATCATTATTCTGTTTAAACTGTTACAGAAGAAGTTTTATATTAAACCGAATAAAACATGCTATTGTAGATAGTTATATAAGAAAAAAAAATTAAACACTGCTACTTCGATACATTTATAATAAAGGTTAATCAAATTTGGAATCTAATATATAATTTTCATCCTTATTTTCACTGTTCTCACTACTATATATGTATGTATTTTTTCTTGGAAAGAAGAATAGATTTCGATTAGAAGATAGGGATGCATAGCTAAGGCCCCAGAATGATTGAAATGAGTTACAGCCAAACCATTAGATCTTCTTCACCCCTAGCACTGTTCTTAGCAAAATAGTGTGCAGTCTTGTTAGTTCTATGAGGGATATGGTGAAAAGTGATATAGGGTAATTTTTCGATTGCGAGGCATGGCCTATTAATGCTGATGTCAAGTCTCCAAGGAGGAGTGGGATCATGAATTCAACCAAAACCATATTTTGAGTCACATTCAACCACAACTTTGGGGTGTGAACCTGTTAGAACAAGATAAAAGCTATAGGATAATCAAACGATACCAATCATTTTCTTAAATAAACAATCAAACAAAATAAACCTTTTGCCTAAAAGCCACCAGGCTCCTTTATTTCTAAGAAAAGAATATTGGTTTTGAACCCTAGATAGTTTTCTTAAATACTTCTATTAAACTCTACTTACTAAAAATAAAATGAACCCACCTAATGACTAAAGGAGAAGCCCAACTCAAAATATAATATGTTAATAGAAAATAAAATAAATAAATCTAAATGGATGTACAACAGGCCTTAGTCCATCCCCATTGTCGATATACAAGCAACGTTCGAGACTCCACAGTCTCTTTAATCTTAACTTTATGCTCTTTTTTATCTTGCTCTCTATTAGAACCGATTTTACTTAGGACTACTTCTAGCGTGAGCATGATAGCATAATTTCCTTGGCATTTGAGTCTCTGATGCCAATGGACTTGGATGCGCTGAACAATATATGGCCATAATGGTTCCTGATAATTGCATCATACCAGCTAGGCCTGATTTACCAATGTCTGAGCCATTTATATTAATCTTTCCCAAATCAATGAATGAGGACTTCCAAAGAATACTTGGTTTGGCTCTTCGAGAAGTCCGAGTATTCAAGGTGACATCTTGGATTTTATTAACCAAGAAAGGAGGAGAATCCCTTTTTTAGGGAAATAGGCACTGTACCATTCCCAAACTGAGATGCACATGTGGAAGATAACCCAATTAGAGGAAAAACTTTCAAATCTTGAAAATAACCTATCTTCAAGATTTCCATTTCTCCCAGAGGAGTCTTTACAAGTCATGCCCAACACCTTTATATACAGTTTCTCCCTCATGGAAGCTTAACTTTGAAATAAGCAAACTCATAAATCTTATCTCCAATCATCTTAGTATTGTCTAATCTGGTGGATTTCCTTACCAAGTGTGGTGCTTCTAGCTGGATGGATCTTATTACTTGATTTTAATTTTTCTATCCTTGCCCAAGTATTTATTTACTATCCATGCCCAAGTAGTTATTTACAGCCACTTTGGTTGGTTTGAAGCGTTTCGCCTCTACCTCCTATTCTTGTGTCTATTGTGTCCCCTTGATGCTTTTATTCTTTATACCTTTTGATTCTCACCTCCTCCATCCTAAAAATATAAAATTAAATAAAGTAGATTAAATTAAAAATAAATATCTATGGCGAACCTTTGCAAGTTTGGAACATGGAATTCCATAACTCCCCCACCACTCAATTGTAATTATATTTAAACCAATACTATTGTTCAAAAATAATAAAACACAAAGACAATATATAAAATTATAAACTTTTGATGGAAAAAAAAAAAAGAATTTATGTTTTGAAGTTTTAAACTAACCAAGAGTCAATGCATCTACATTTAATGTAAGACTCCATCACCTCTTTTATGAATCACTTACATTTTAATTTTATTAGCCTCTTCTTCATAAGTACTCAACCTCTCAATGCACTTGTATAGTCCATTTGTTCTTAAGGTTAAACTCAATGCTTGGATTGGAATAATAGAATTGAGGATTTAAGAAATGTCTGCTGGATACAGAGGGTGATGAAGGTGGCATTCCCACCTATTATCAGTTATCTCAAATACATCCTTATTCTTTTCTCTCTCTCTCTCTCTTTTATTGAAAGTTCTTTCCATTTCTTCCTTACTTCTATCCGTTGCTTTATATATATATATATATATATATCCGTGGTGTGTTTCTTTTCACTACCCACAAGTCTTAACACATGCATAATGATATATGTTTTTCATTTTTACTTTTACATTTTCAATTTGAATGAGTACAGATTATCTCTGTATGTGTGTTCATGGATGGGGCCAGCAATTAAACCTTGTTTTGATTTGTATGTATGGTTTTATTTTTGAGGTGAAAATATTGAATGTGATATTTGTATGGAAATTAGGGGTTGTATGCTATGTTTTTTGAAGGTAATAAATGAGTGAATCATTGAATCAGAAAAATAGGGGGGAAAACCTAAAAAGGAAAACCACTTGTATTTTTATACGCATCTCCTTATACATATTTACGGCTTGATTGGGATGATGAATTTCACAGCTTGTGTTGTTATTTATCAAACATTTTAGAATTTGTGAATCCACAAAAGTTTAAGCACTGCCAAATAGTAGTTCAATATGCCTCCTTTTCTCTATTTCCTCTTGTTTTTGCAGTTTCTTTTCCGATGGCACTGTCCTAGGGGATTCTCGTTAATGTATAATTTTATAGGGTTTGGTCTTTCCTTCTATTAGTTTTGTTTATGTTTGAATTGACAATTTGTTTCTATATTGCTCAGGCCAAGTCCTCCCTCACAGTCTGTACTGGCTGTGAGTAACACATATGGTCGTGTGCGGAAGCCACTGGGTTTTAAGCTCATTGGTTTATTTTCAAGTATTCAGGGACAACAAACTGAAGAAAAATCTTTAAATGATGAAAGTGACTGCTCTCTTTGGTTACCTGTTGCCCCTCCTGGGTACTTGGCATTAGGTTGTGTTGCTCATGTTGGAAGCCGACCACCTCCAAATCACATTGTTCACTGTATTCGCTCTGATCTGGTCACCTCAACGACATACTCAGAATGTGTACTCAATAACTCTGGTAATAATTTATTTGAGTATGGATTCAGCATATGGCGGCTAGATAACTGTTTATGGTCATTTTTTGCCCATCCATCTGCTGGCTACCCTTCCAAGGACTGTTGCTTTGACCTGAATCATCTTCTTCTTTGGAACTCTAACCAGCACCATTCATCCCTTGAATCTGTAGTGGATTTTGATAGTCAACAGAAAAATTCCTCTTCTTCCACAATTAATAAGGGTGGGACTTCTGGTTGGGATGTTTTAAGGTCAATTTCTAAAGGAATTCCATTTTATTTGTCAACTCCAAATTTTGAGCGAATCTGGTGGGATAAAGGTGGTGATCTACGCCGGCCATTTTCAATATGGAGACCTGTACCTCGCCTTGGATATGCTATACTGGGCGACTGCATAACTGATGGGTTAGATTTATTTATATATTTGTGATTTTTGCCACTTCTATGCATTTTGTAGCAGCAATATTTTCTACATGCATTGTGTTGTTGCTTATCTGTCTTCTCTTATATTTCTGCGTCCTAGTTTGGAACCTCCTCCATTTGGCATCATTTTTAAGGCTGATGACCCCGAAATCTCTGCACCGCCTGTTCAATTTACAAAGGTTGCACATATTGGGAAGAAAGGACCAGAGGAAGCTTTCTTCTGGTACCCCATTGCTCCTCCTGGTTATGCTTCTTTGGGATGTATTGTGACGCAATTTGATGAAGCGCCATGTCTTGAATCTATTTGCTGCCCAAGAATGGATTTGGTTACCCAAGCCAACATATCAGAGATGCCTGTATCAAGGTCATCCAGTTCCAAAACATCTCATTCCTGGAGTATTTGGAAAGTTGAGAATCAGGTTAAGATGACAGTGGAAAATCAATATCCTTGCACTCTTTCTTTCTTGGTCATAGTATTGTAATCGAACATTTATTCTTCTAAACATTTGAAATTTGTTCCTCTGCAGGCTTTCACATTTCTTGCTCGTCCTGACCTCAAAAAGCCATCAAGCAGATTAGCATTTTCTATTGGTGATTCTAATAAGCCAAAAGCAAGGGACAATATAACAGCTGAGATGAAAATAAGATGCTTTTCTCTGACTATTTTGGACAGCTTGTGTGGAATGGTTTGCACCACACATATTAAGCTTTCCCTATCTATTTAAAAAGCATATTTTATTTCTTGAGTTTGTATCTGTATTTTGTTTTCAGCTGTCTCCACTTTTTGATGCCACAATCACCAACATCAAGCTAGCAACTCACGGTGGACTTGAGGCAATGAATGCGGTGCTTATTTCTTCTTTTGCTGCATCAACTTTCAATATTCATCTAGAAGCATGGGAGCCACTTGTTGAACCATTTGATGGAATATTTAAGTAAGAAAACTAGTCTCAATTTTTATTTTTTATTTTTAATTTTGTAATTTTTTGTGTTTCTCCAACTTATCTGGTATCCACTGACACTGAATGATTATTATTTTTTCTTGGAAGACTTGAAACATATGATACCAATTTAATCCAACCAGTAAGGGTGGCCAAAAGACTGCGAATTGCTTCTACTAGCATTTTGAATGCGAACCTCAGTGCAGCAAATGTAGATACCTTTGCACAAACCATGGAATCATGGAGAAGGCAGAGGGAACTCGAAGACAAAGCAATGAGATTGATTGAGGTATAATGTTGTCATGCGTTTCACTTTTGCATGTTCCTCCTGCTTGTTATTTGGGTTTTTTTATTAGCTGTCTCTTTACTTCCTCAGGAAGCTTCTGGACCTGATGCAGCAGACCAAGAATCAACCCAGTTGGCTTTGGATGAAGATGATTTTCAGACTGTGGTTGTCGAAAATAAACTTGGGTGTGACATATACCTGAGGAAAGCTCAGCAGAGTTTTGATTCCATCAAGTTGGTGCAGCATAATGATAGTGCTTCTTTGTGGATTCCACCACCAAGACTTTCTGACAGATTGAATGTTCCAGATGAATCAAAGGAATCTCGATGTTATGCTGGAATACAGATAGTTGAAGCAAAGGTCATCGTTTTCAAGCCATACCACTCAGTTGTTTACTTTCCAGATTGTTTTTACGATTATTAAACATTTTTATTAATGTTTTAGTTTCAATTCTCTACAGGGTTTACCTCTTCTTGATGATGGAAATAGTCATCACTTCTTCTGTGCTTTGCGCCTGCTTGTGGACAACCAGGAAGCTAGTTCACAAAAGCTTTTCCCTCAAAGCGCACGAACAAAGTGTGTTAAGCCAGTAGTTATCAAATTAAATGATTATAATGAAGGCACGGCTAGGTGGAATGAACTTTTCATCTTTGAAGTCCCACGGAAGGTATTGAATACTGAAAAAACAAGCTACAAGCCTTGCTGCTAATTAAATAGTTAGAAACAGAATATGTGAACACAAGCCTCTAGAAATGAATGTGCTATAATACAATAAACATTTACTTTCGCAAAAATTATGAAGGACCAACAAACAATATTTCCATTTACTTTTGTTTATGTGGAGTTTATCATCATGATCCTCATTAATATTATCAGAAGTCGTTTCATCATAAGTTTTCACTCCTTTCTTACTGCAATTACCACGTTCCAAATTTCCAAAATGAATTCTAGACCTTCTAATTTCTGTTCTATGTGATTGAATTTTTATTTTTTTATATGGGTTTTTCTGAAATGGATTTCTTCTTATATATTTATCATAGGGAATGGCTAAATTGGAGGTAGAAGTGACTAACCTAGCTGCAAAGGCTGGTAAAGGTATCAATTCATCACATTAACTAGAAAATTCCGCTCACACTTCTCTGTGCTTTACATTCTCTTTTGAATGAAGAGCTATGCTTAATTTGTTGTGGTTCTTAGATATTGATTATTGAAGAAATAATTTGGCCCATACCAACTAGTCAAATAATTTCAATAATTGATGTTACCCAATTACCCATGCACTTCTTTATTGTTATATAATCACTTTAGTTAGGGGGGAAGTTTAGAAAACCAATGAAGTGCCAAAAAATGATAACAACATGGAAAATTTTCTGTCCCAATAGATAAACTACGAGAGAATTCTCTCATCCTAAGCTGTAGCTGTCAAACGAAGACAGTTACGGAATGAGACCCCAAATGCATAATTTCTATTACTTATTAAGAATACCTAATCCTAGGACTCCTACTAAACAGAAACTAACCCTAAAGCAGCAATGTCCCAATGTGCTAATGAAAATGTGTAGTTGAGTCAGTGATATTTGCCTTAACACCATCACTGGAGGAAGATCTTCCTATGTGCTTAGTTACCATGAGCCCATTCTTTTGTGTCACCTCTTAAAGTTTGTCATTGTGATCGCAACTCGGTTGCATAGATTAACATGAGTCATTTCAGCATGCTTTTACCTAGGTCACCTATCCCGAAATCACCTCAGAACACAGGTATAACTATGCTTACTAGTGTACCTCTAAAGAGGAAAAACCTTGTTGATGTGCATCCTTAACAGTTTAAGCTTTTAGTTGAGTAGTCATTTACTTCATCTAACATAGTATTAGAGCCTTAGCTCTCGAATTTGAGTCCCACCGTCCCTCGTTTGTTGTTTTCCACGTGCAATTATAACTCTATAGAACTCCTACCAAACATAAAACTATTTTGTAATTTATTTTATACATATGTATAGATATATATATGGAGAGGGTGTAATTATATATAATAGCAGAAGCCATAGATTACAATATTAGAGAAAGATAGAAGAACTACCAATGACAACCAAGAGAAGACAGAGAGATTGTATGCATATTTCTATCTAAAATACTCCACTTCAGCTTCTCTTCACTGAATAACCACTGTGATGTATGCCTATGCATAGAACTCTTTGCTTAAAATTGATATCCTATATTTTATTATAACGCAAAATATAAGCCTAATGAAATCATTATAATTATTGGTGATGGTGGTAGCGCTGCTGCTGCTGTTACTGTTTTGTGTTAATATGTATGACAAGATTACTTTGAGGATATTGTATGATTATTTTTCTATGCTGGTGATCTTGGAGTTCTTTGCATTTTAGGTGAGGTTGTGGGTGCATGTTCATTTCCCGTTGGACATGGTGCAAGCATGTTGAAAAAGGTTTCTTCTGTTAAGATGCTTCACCAAACAACCAATAATCAGAGTATTGAAACTTATCCATTAAAAAGAAGGGTAAGTTGGCATTGATTTTATTTTAATGCTAATACCTTTGGCTGTGTCCATTATTATAACTTTGTTTTGTTGGTTTTATTTTTCAGAGCCAGTATTCTTGTGAATCTAGTTCTTGTTGCCTTCTTGTTTCCACTGCTTTCATTGAAAAGAGCATGGTTAGTGACTATGACAAACGGGGAAATGGAAAAGATTTAGAAGGGGATATTGGTTTCTGTGTTGCACTGGGTCCAGAAGGTCCATGGGATGGTATTCGTTCATTACTTCCACTATCAGTGATTACCCGCAAACTGAAAGATGAATTTGTAGCTTTGGAGGTTTCTATGAAAAATGGGAAGAAGCATGCTGTTTTCAGGGGCCTTGCTGCAGTTACTAATGATTCTGATATCAAATTGGATATTTCAACTTGCCATCTCTCTGTGATTAGCGGTCATGATAGTCCTTCAAGGAAAGTTCCTAAAAACATTGTGATTGAAGAGATATTTGAAAATCAACAGTATCATCCAGTATCTGGTTGGGGTAACAATCAGTATGGTTCTCACGGTAAAGACCCGTTGCGCTGGAGCACAAGAGATTATTCATATTCATCTAAAGTGAGCAAATTTTTACTTGTTTAGAAGGTGTTGGGTCTCATACTTCATTTGAACTAACCAATATACATTAATTTTATTCATATTCTTTTTGAAGGAACTCTTTGAACCCGCGCTCTCCCCAGGATGGACATGGGCTTCAACATGGACTATTGACAAATCTCAGTTTGTTGATGCTGATGGGTGGGCTTATGGGATTGATTATCAAAGCTTAAAATGGCCACCAAGTTCACCCATGTCGGGGACAAAATCTGTCGGTGATACCGTTCGCAGAAGGCGCTGGACTCGCACTAGGCAAGAAGTTGATGACTGGAACACAAGTAGCCGAACTTTTGTTGATGTTACAATATGTCCAGGTTGCTCTACAGTTTTACCCTGGAGAAGCATGTCTAGGGATTCTAACCAATGTTTGAGAATACGCCCTGCCATTGATCCTTCTCAAGCTTCCTATGCTTGGGGACGTCCAGTTTCCATTGAAAAGGATTCTTTCTCTGTTGAGCAAGGTTCAATATCTCGCCAAAGTAGCTTGAAGCAAGGAAATAAGATTCCAATTTCTCCGTTGAGGCTAGATTTACTGGAGAAGAAGGACCTTCTATGGTGTTGTCCTGGATCTAGTGGTAAATTATTTTGGCTTTCCATTGGCACAGATGCATCTGTTCTTCACACAGATCTGAATGCTCCTGTTTATGATTGGAAAATATCTGCCAGCTCTCCACTAAGGTTGGAGAATAGACTTCCTTGTTCTGCAGAATTCAAAGTTTGGGAAAGGCTGAGGGATGGTAAAAACGTAGAAAGACAGCACGGTTTTGTATCATCACGTGGGATTGTGCACATATACTCTGCTGACATTAGGAATCCAATATATGTGATGCTATTCGTTCAGGGTGGCTGGGTAATGGAGAAGGTACACTTTCACTGTTTGTGTAGTTTCCTGCATATTCATATATTTTTGTCTAGATGGAAATGATAGTTTCCAAAAGATTTTCCATGTTATAATCTTTATATCACTTTATTATTCAGGACCCTGTTCTTATTTTGGATTTGGCATGTGGTAATCATGTTTCCTCATTTTGGATGCTTCACCAGCTTAGGAAAAGGTAAGTTGTTTCAGATATTAGTTTCTTACTTCTAAATTAGTAGGGGTCTATCTCCTAGAGATGAATTTTTGCATAGGTGTTCCAATATCCTATTCTCCTCTATTTTACCAAAATTTAGTTTCACTGCTGCTCATTTTCTCTGGGATTGATGCTTGTTTTCTTAACCTTAAATCATATTTCCCTTCACATTTTCTAGGAAAAACTGAAGTGCATGTGTAGATGCATTGTAAGAAACAAAAATACATTAAGTAAGCTTTAGCTACAATGTGAAGGAGCCAGAAAGATGAAAGCTATATCCAAACTGATAAATTAACACTTACCCCCAACATCATACTTTGTGAAATGGTCAGCCACCTCATTTTCACCTCAACTTGTGATGAAACAAGTTGTGTTTATTTTGCAGATTGCATAGAAACAATATCAAGATAATGCATATTGCATCTCTTAAATCCTGCAAAAATCTGTATGTTATGAAACTTTCAAGCCAAATCTTTTAGGTTTCGTCAAACTTGAACTCTGTGTTCCCCTGACCAACAAACAATTTTCTTATAATAAGCTTTACTCTCTCTCTCTCTTTCTACTCCAACAAAAGGTTGTCTGAAGAGAAAAATAAACCTTAATAGCGGACCTTCTTTGAGGTCATTAGATTGGTTGTTCTAGTTAAGAATCATTTTATATTCACCTTTTTATTTGGGGATGATTTATGCAGGAGGTTGCGAGTCAGCATTGAGCGTGATTTGGGGGGAACTGCAGCTTCTCCCAAAACAATAAGGTTTTTTGTTCCATATTGGATAAATAATAACTCCTCTCTCCCATTGGCTTATAGAGTGGTGGAGATTGAACCACCAGAAAGTGCTGAAGTGGATTCTCTTCTAATTTCCAAAGCTGTCAAATCTGCCAAATCAGCATTAAAATATCCTTCCAGTCCAGTGGTTAGGGGACAGATTGGTAGGAGGAAAAATGTTCAAGTACTAGAAGCTATTGAAGACACTAGTCCAACACCAAGTATGCTTTCTCCGCAAGACTATGTTGGTCGTGGCGGTATTATGCTGTTCTCATCAAAGAATGATATGTATTTGTCTCCAAGGGTGGGCATAGCTGTTGCTACTCGAAATTCTGATCATTTTAGCCCTGGGGTATCACTACTAGAGCTGGAGAAAAAGGTGAATGGAGACTGTTATTCATCAATTTGAGGATGACATCATTCCTGCCCTTTTTTCATTTTACTTGTTTATTTAGTTTTTGGACTGACTTTTCATATATATATTGATTTGACTCTTTCAGCAAAGAGTTGATGTGAGAGCTTTCCACCCGGATGGGACTTACTACAAACTTTCAGCTGTGCTACAGATGACTTCTGATAGAACAAAGGTAGACTTACTCTCTTATAATCAATACATTACATCTTTTTGGATTCATTTTGCATTTGACTTTCGTTTGTTATAGGCAGTTGATCTGACTAACTTTTTTTCATGTAATTGTGAATATGGTATAGTTATTTTCCTGCATGCTAGTATGGCAAAAAATCTGTGTAACCTAGCTGTAGAATGGGATACGTAAGCTGCTGTTTTATAAATGTTTTGTGAACATATAAACTGATCCTTTTGACTTATAAGCATTAAAATTATTTTTGTTTTATATTTCAAGTTTTGTAGAGTTCATATTATGTGCCGAGATACACATAAGCAACAATAAAACAGAGAAAATTTCCCATTATGGCCTTGCCGATTATTTGGAAAATTTCATTGGAAGAATAACCAATAGATGCAGTGTTTATGTGTTCTTCAAGTTATGTTAATGAATACAAATCCAATTGTGGAAGTTTGTGGATACGCATATGTGTATGTATTTTGGAGAGAGTTTGTGGATAGAATTTCTCTGTATATATAAAGATGAGGTGAGTGGGAGTAGGAATGATGCGTTATTGGGTTTGTAATGCCATATTAATCCAAACATGAGTTTCGTTAACTTACACTACAACATGCTAAAGTTTTGATATATGCTAGACTTGTTGCATCTAAGATTCTACCCTTAACCCTAACCCATATCTCTCTCCAAAGAAAGTTTGAGGTTCTACTTCCTCTCGTAGTGAATTGGTTTCCGTGTTTGGCTAATTATTCAACTGTTGGAGTGAGTGAGATCTAGTGTCAAGCATTTTATGTTGCTCTTATCTCTTTTTTGCCTAATCTACCCTTTAAACAACACATCAGTACATTCACTCTCGGAAACTGGACTCTTCTAAGAGTTTCTAAGTCTTGTATTCTCTACAGCCAAAATTTATTTAGAAATCAACTATATTTGATACCATTTTATGCAATTGTATAAAATTCATCGTTGTAGACTTGTTGATCTGCATCAAACCATGTTATATCCTTCTGGTATTAATTCTTGTCAGTCCTTATTTTGTTTATATTTTAGCGCAAAGGCAATCTATCTGCAACCAATAGCATTTTTTGAATTGCTTTCAACAACTATATCAGGGTGGGAACTGATATGGTTTCCAAGAACGGCTTTGAGGGTGAGGACAATGACCAAGTTTTGATTAATTGAGTGAGAGAGTATAATATAGGAGAACTCGAGAAAACTCATTAAGTATTAGAACTAGGTAGATCGCTCTACATTTTCTTTTGCACCATGCTTAGCAAAATAATCCACAACCTCATTGACCCTACAAGAGATATGTTCGAAAATGATGAAAGAAAACATTTCTATGGCAAGACAGGACTTGTTTATGTTGAAATTCAGCTTCCAAGAAGGTGAAGAACCCAATGTCCAAGCGATCTGTTCATGGTAGCTTAAATAATATTTAATTAAAATTTGGCATGATGTTGATTCCATTCCCATTGCGGTTATTAAATGTAGGTTAAGTGGTCAAGTCATTATGTCATTGTTCATTTTCTCCCATCACATTATTAAATGCATGAACTTTTGAGCAATTTCTCTTGTACTGATTTGGTTTTATTTGCAAGATATTATGGATAGCCAGTCTTTTGATAACATTATCTGTGCCCATATGTAGGTGGTACATTTTCAACCGCACACTGTGTTTATCAACAGAGTTGGGGACAGCATATGCATACAGCAATGTGATACTGAATCTCTTGAATGGCTTCATCCAACTGAAGCTCCAAAACATTTTCGGTGGCATTCTGACAAGGCTGAATGGCTTAAGGTTAGTCTAATCAACCATACCCATTATGAACATATTCTCCTTAATATATTTGTTACTTATTTTATTCCTCTTATTGCTTAAGTTGCGGATGGAGGGATACCAGTGGAGTGCACCGTTCTCCATTGGCTCTGAAGGTCAAATGTCTATATGTTTAAGAAGTGAATTTGGAAAAGATTTAATGTATGTGTCGGTGAAAGTAAGAGGAGGGACAAAATCCTCAAGCTATGAAGTTATCTTCCGCCCCAATTGTTTTTCAAGTCCTTACAGGTAATTTGCTAATTGACATTCCTTGTGATGTTTGTTTACTGTGGAAGCGAGCCAATAGTTAGCAGTTGTCACCCTGCAGTGATATTTGACTAGAATATGCAATAATGCATTTCTTACTTTAGCAAAGGAGCTAGGTTTGTGTCTCTAAAACCTTTATGTCGCATATAATGTGAGATTATTATGTGGCATGTGAGTTATACATTGTACATTTTCTGACCCATTTTAAAGGTTCTTATTTTACCTGGACATGATCCTTACAGAGTAGGGAATGCGAAGTTAGAATGTGTCTGCATGATTTTACCTAAAATGCAGTAGTTGGGATATAGTAGTGCTGCATAATGAGAGCAAGTGATAAAATGGAAAGATATTAGAATTTTGGATTGTGTTGGTTTTGGTTGCCTCAAAGGGAAAATGGGTGTGATAAATAGATGTGGTGATATTTGTCCAGCTGTTCTTGGTTCCATTTACAGGGGATGGTTGTGAAAATAGACAAGTTTCTGAAGAGTTTTATGTGATGAATATAAATGAAAATAATGAAAATTCAAGATTAAAAAATCTGGTAAAAAAATGATATGTGATTTCTGATTCTTGTGCACACAGTGCAAATAGGATATGTTGAGTAGTTTTTCTTTAATCCTATAGGATGTCTAATAGTAAGAGCCTGGCTTTGGTGTCTCAGTTTATGCTTTTTCCGATACAACCTGTTTGCTTTCCAGTTTAGTTTCCAAAGTACAAGGTTAAGACTTCTTTTGGCCATTATGTAAGGTTAGGATCCCATGCATCCAAATATCTTATTATTTATTAATTTTGGCATCAATAGACTTAGCATGGATTTTCTGCATTTACACAGAGCTAGGTTTTGACTGTAGGAGATATCTTCAGATACACTACTTGTTTAGATCAAAACTGTTCATCTTGACAATGATAAATAAAGTTTTTGATCAATTGTATTGTCTGTTTTAGGCATCAGCATGAAATTTTATTCCAGTAAGTTCATCTTATATGTTTCTAAATGCAATCCATTTTCAGGATTGAAAATCACTCTTTCTACCTAGCTATACGATTTCGTCAAGTCAATGGTTCTGAGGAATCTTGGAGGCTTCTACTACCTAATGCTGCTACTTCTTTTTCGTGGGAGGATCTTGGTAGAGAACAATATTTGGAACTGTTACTAGAAGGAGATGATCCCATGACATCACAGATATACAATATTGATGAAATTAAAGATCATCTCCCCATTCAGGTGTCTGGAGGACATTGGAGAGGACTACGAGTCTCCGTAATTAGGGAAGAGAAAGTAAATGTTGTTAAAATAGACTGGATAGAAGAAAATGAAGTGCCAATACTATTAAATCGAACTCTATCATCTGTCCAGCAAATCTCTGACACTAAATCACATCTTCAGCCATCATCAAATGCCTCAGATTGCGAGTTTCACCTTATTCTTGAAGTTGCAGAGCTTGGCTTGTCTGTTGTTGATCATACTCCAGAAGAGATATTATATTTGTCCTTACAAAATTTCTTCCTATCTTATTCTACCGGATTGGGTGCTGGAATTAATCGGTAAAGTTTTTGGTTGTATTACTTTACCCCAGGCCAACATTTTCTTTCTTATTCTTTTTTTTTAATTATTATTTTATTCTATTTTGTACTATCTAATTATTCTGCTTTTTCTTTTGACTTAGGCTAAAAGTAAGGATGGGGGGAATTCAGGTGGATAATCAATTGCCTTTAACCCCAATGCCCGTGCTCTTTCGACCACAACGATTTGTGGAGGAGACTGATTATGTTTTGAAGCTTTCTATCACACAACAGTCTAGTGGATCTCTAGACATGTGCATATATCCTTATATAGGTTTGCAAGTGAGTATATTAAATGTGTCTCTGGCTCACTGCTTAGATTTTTTATTTCTCATTGCTCATATACTTGAACAATCTCATCAGGGACCTGAAAATACTGCATTTGTGATTAATATTCATGAGCCAATTATTTGGCGGCTCCACGGTCTTATCCAGCAAGCCAATATCTCCAGGATGTTTGATGCTCAGACCACTTCAGTTTCAGTTGATCCCATTGTTCAAATTGGGTATATTTTGTGCTTATCTTTGCCAACTCTACTTTATGCATCTAGTTTTATGAAATTTAAATCCACGTATTCTATTTTGCTAGGGTTCTTAATATTTCAGAAGTTCGTTTCAAAGTAACCATGGCTATGTCCCCAACTCAACGACCTGTGGGTGTCCTTGGATTTTGGGCAAGCTTAATGACCGCTCTTGGAAATACTGAAAATATGCCTGTAAGCTCTTTGCATAAGTTGACTTGATGATACTGCTTGAAATTGCTTTGAGTTACTAAATGTGAAAGGATTCAATACTGAGATGACTAACGAAGGCTGTAAGCACATTACACATTCCCATATGTTAGCAGTATAATATTAGGAAAAGGTGAACTAAGAAAGAAGTATCATGCTATTTTGGCCAAGTATTATCAATAATCTATAAAAATGAATGTGTTAATTGTTTTTTGTCACTATTCTTTTCTTATTATGTTTTCTGTTCTCTATATGGCTGCACGGTGGAAATCTAGAATTCCTCCTTTTGTAGATGCTTGTAAAAAGATAATCAAAACCTTTAGAGCCAATAAAGACCAGGAAGATTGATTCAAGAATAGCTCATCTTTTGAGCTCTGTCGTAGAATTCTGACCTTCCATGTTTCAGAGATCGTTACTAATCAATAAGTTAGGGGAAAATGGTATTGAAGATTTTAGATTAACTGAAAGTCTTGTTTTATGAATCATGGTGATGCTATTAAAATGCCACTGATATTTCTGTTGTTGTTTTATTAGGTCCGGATAAATCAGAGATTTCAGGAAAATGTATCTATGAGCTATAGTATTCTTGTCGGTAATGCTATCTCAAACATAAAAAAGGATGTCCTCAGTCAGCCACTGCAGCTGCTTTCTGGGGTTGATATTTTGGGCAATGCCAGCAGTGCACTAGGACACATGAGCAAAGGTGTCGCTGCCTTATCAATGGACAAGAAATTCATTCAAAGCCGAAGACAGGTTATTATTTTTTAACAACCAAGTACCTAGTTTCGTTTAATAGTTCATGAAATCACAGAACATATTAACTATATTTCATGGCTCTGGAGATCTTGCTTGTGTCTCACAATATCTAATTGTGCATAACCATGGATGTGTCCTTGAGATGAAATGCATGCTTGCAGTTCTTCCCTTGAGATGTATCCATATTTTTTAATGAGCGATGCATTCATTTTCGACCATTTTGTACGATCTGTTTGGTACAGGATAACAAAGGTGTTGAGGACTTCGGTGATGTCATTCGAGAGGGCGGTGGGGCATTGGCTAAGGGCTTATTCCGAGGAGTCACTGGCATTCTAACAAAGCCTCTTGAAGGTGCAAAAGCATCAGGCGTTGAGGGCTTTGTACAAGGTGTTGGAAAGGGATTGATAGGTGCTGCTGCGCAACCAGTTAGTGGTGTTTTAGATCTTTTGTCAAAAACTACAGAAGGTGCAAATGCAATGAGAATGAAGATTACATCAGCTATTGCTTCAGATGATCAACTCCTTCGCAGAAGGCTGCCTCGAGCCATTGGTGGTGACAATTTGCTTAGGCCGTATGATGACTACAAAGCACAGGGCCAGGTACATAACCAGACTTGTGCTGCATCCGCTGCTCCTTAATGAAAATTATTATATTTAGGTAGCATGATTCTGACATATGTTCTCTTCTGCCATGATGAAGGCAATACTGCAATTAGCAGAGTGTGGATCATTTTTCGTTCAGGTCGACCTTTTCAAAGTGCGTGGGAAGTTTGCCTTAACAGATGCATATGAAGATCATTTCTCACTTCCCAAGGGCAGGATCATTCTGGTTACTCACCGAAGAGTGATACTATTGCAGGTTAGTTCATGAGGAGTAATGGGGATAACAAGATTTGATTTGATTTGATTTGTTGGTTCATTCTAAAACTTACAGTTCTTCCATTGGTGTTTTTCAGCAACCATCCAATCTGATTGGACAGAAAAAATTCAACCCTGCTAGAGATCCATGTTCTGTACTGTGGGATGTGGTCTGGGATGATTTGGTGACAATGGAACTGATACACGGAAAGAGGGATCATCCTAGTGCCCCTCCATCGCGGGTTATTCTATATTTACACAGTGGTAAATCATTAGATGCCAAGGATCAGAATCATCGCATTATAAAGTGCAGCCACGATTCTAGTCAAGCATTTGATGTTTATACTTCAATCGAACAAGCTAGATCTACATATGGGCCAGCATTTTCAACGGTATGCATATATCCTTGGTTACTTTTGATCATCCATTCATGTGTATTCAATAAAAGTAATAATAATGATAATAATTTATGTGGCAGGCCCCTTCCCTGCAGAAGAGGAAAGTGACAAAACCCTACTCTCCTTTGATTGATGCGGCGCCGAGTCCCACAGGAGTAGGAGTAGGAGCAGGAGTGTACATGATGAATTCGCCAAACCAGATGATGCCTACATCCAATTCTACACTTGGAGCTGTGAATACTGACTGACTAAATGACATCTAACAGTGGTAAGCTAGGCTAGCTCAGTGCCCGAGTAAAAAGAAGAATGAATGGCTGTTCTGTGTTGTTCATCATCTTTGCATCTTTTGCCATCACATAATAATAAGTGGATCGATCGGGTGTGGATGGAGTTTAAAGCTAGATGGCTCGGGGATGGATCGTTGGATTGGATCATCCACATTGATTTGCTAGTCTCTACATATAAATATGTATGTATGTGAAATAAAAACTAATCAGCTATAGGGTCAGCAGCAGCAGCAGCAGCAGCATTTTTTCTGGGAATGATGTAATAGGTACTTAATTACTTGTGTATAAACCAAACAAACCTTAGTCTATAGATTTCTTGAGTTACCATATCATATTATTGTATCAATCATGAGGTATCTTCAATTATCTGACATTTGGTATAAAATAACAATGTGCAATTGTTGGGAGTACCACAACATGTCTCCTTTATTGACAAAATAGCCCCTAAAGAATATTATGCTAATTCAATCAATCCAGCAAGCAAATATTATTCAAATCTAACTTCAAAAATACATTGACACAAAATCATAAGGCAAATTTTAACGTATTAACAAAATAATGTTCATAATACTACCAAAAAAAGAAAAAGACTAAATTGTTAAAATTTGCTTACGATTTTATAAAATTTTATATCTGGGTGAATCTTATTTAATTTAGACGGATTTAAAAATTGAGATTTTGAAAGATAAAAATTTGATTATTTTTAAAAAATTTTAATTTAACGCAATCTCATAAAATTAAAATAGTTTAAAAAATATAATAGGAGTATCACATCTTTCTTCTACAATTTATTTCTGGTTTAATTTGAAAAATATCATAACCGCCGGTTATAAACAGAGAACCGAACCGGCGGTTCGGAACCGTGCGTCTTCTCTTCTCTTCTCTTTTCTTCTCTTCTTCGCCGTCGTCGGTCAGTGGGTAAGAGAATTAAGGTTATGGATATCATCAGCGCACTCAACTCGCCTCAACGATTCGCACTTGCTGATAGGAATAGGAATTGGCAGGTGGCATTAGATGCCCGCAACCGCAAGTGTTACCATCTTTCTTCATTATCGCTATCTTGTTTGAGTCAAAGGTGCAGCAGCAGCTCAGCCTCAGCAGCAACAGTGGCCGCAGCCACCGGGAAAAATAATAACCATAATAAATCAAAAAGGGGTGGTAATCACAGTTTTTTTGCCAGGCCAGATGAAACTACAGGCCCTTTTCCCGAAGCTATTCTTCTCAGAGAGGTAGGTCACTTTAGCTGTTTTTCTTGACTATGTAATTCTGGTTTCAATTGAAGCTAATGTGCTTCTGTTGTCTAATGATTGATTTTTTTACGATTTGGTTGATACCATGGGATGGAAAGATGACCTCACATCAACATTATACATTCCATATTTCTTCAATCTCAAGTTGCTGACTTGCTTATTGTTTTGACAGAGAAAGGTTGAGGAAGACGGTATGCTTGTGCCTGAGTTTGCAGATGCTGAAGAACGTGAGTACTTACTTACTTTTGTTTATTTTCTTCAATCCAGGCAGAAAACATCTTATATGTGGTAGATGGAACTTAATCTAGGCTTTCAAATTCTGATTTGCAGGTGAACTTTTTGAGGCTCTGAATCTGCAGCTTGAAAGTACTATGAATGTAGAACAAAGTGAGAACATTCACTCACTCTGCCTCTTATTATCATAATGTATCTGTAATTGGTGCATGATTACTTAGTTTATAATGCACATTAGTACATAATGCTTGAGGGGACTTTATTTGGTTACAAACTCAAGTAATTTCTAGTACAACCAATAAAAAGGGCATTGATTGCATCTGTGCATTTCAAAGCATAAGACATATTGCAAGTTGTGTTTATTCTCCCTAAGTAAACGCTTCATGTTATATCTGGGCAGTGCGGCACTATGAAGTGGTATATCTGATCCATGAGGATTGCAGAGATGAGGTTGAAAATGTCAACACCAAGGTTCGAGGTAACGTTTTGCTTTCACTTTTCCAAGTCAAACTCTGATATTGTTGTTCATCTGGTTAGCAATGAGCTTGATTCTTGTTCTATTAGACAAGCTTTGTGGGGCATATAAACAATGCCTGAGAATTTATGAAATGTTTGGTAGAATTCTTGAAGGAAAAGAAGGGAAAGATTTGGAGATTTAGTGACTGGGGCTTGCGAAGGCTGGCATACAAGATACGAAAGGCGAACAATGCCCACTATATCCTAATGAATTTTGAGCTGGAAGCGAAATGGATCAATGATTTCAAGACCTTATTAGACCGAGATGAGAGAGTGATCCGGCACCTTGTGATGAAGCGAGACAAAGCCGAGACAGAAGATTGCCCACCACCTCCTGAGTTCCGGACATTACGTGATGCTGCAGGTATGAGTGATGAGGATGAGGATGAGGATGAGGATGAGGATGAAGACTGGGATGATGATGATGATGAGGAGGAGGAGGAGGAGGAGGAGGGTGTAATCTATGTGGATGATAGTGATGATGACAATGTGGATGATAGAGGGAGAAGAAAGTTGAAAGCAACAGTGTAGGTTAGAAGAGTAGTATAGAGATTAGAAACAAATGCCGCTTAGTTGAGATTTTAGGAACTTTTATGTTGCATATCTGTATGTTATTTATTATTTTGGACATTACACTTGTTTTTGCTATTCAAGGAATTATGCCTTTGTGGGAAAGTGTCATTATAATGACTAAAATACCTTCCTGTAAGTGCCACTAATAATTTTTTGTGCCTTCAATTTCTATTTGATTTCAGGATCTTCTGATTTTGGCTTGTAGCAATGCCGGAAATAGAAACAGCCTTACAGTGGCTCAAATGAATTTTAGAGATTCTCATTTCTAACTATAAGGTCATATGCCAGCCTTCTATTTCTTCAACTTTACACATTTCTCTCTGTTTTTGCAAGGCCATGGAATGAAAAAGGCAAATCTGTCCCACTTGCGAGACGTAGAAGACTTTATCCACGATTTTCTGATCATTATATTGGAGCATCCAATGTGCGAAAAGGATGGGTGGCAGTTTAAAATATGCTAGGTTTCATGAAGAAATGTAATTTGATTATTATCCATATGGTGGGAGGTAATTACATGACTATTAACTGTCGGTTTTATTGTTCATCTCTGGTGGTGAAGTCAAGAACACACAGGACTAGGGAAAGAGATGTTTATGGTTAAACTTGAGTAAGTGTATTCTACTGTTGTTTGATTATGTGCTTTCATCATTGTTTTGCATGTAAATTGATGATGGAGTTTTAAGTATGCAAATAGCTTAGAACTCCTTATCATAACCTGGAGGACCTTGGTGAGTTGAAGTATATTTTATTACGGCATATATATTCAGGCTTACGTCATGATGTTTTAAACTTTGTGCTCATTAGATTTTGTACAAGACCAGCTCTTGTTTTTATCGGCTGAAGGAAGCAAACTAGTCTGAATAAGAATCTCAAATCTTGTTCAAATTCCAGACGTGGAAACAATGTACTTGAAGCTGTCTATAAAAACAATGTGCTAAATATTACTATCTAAAACTTTCCATCTCTTATGAATCAATAAACCACTTTTTCCTCAAAAAGGAAGCTGTCTGTAACAATTTGCTAACTATCTTTCTAAGTTTCAGTCGTTTATTTGGTCCTTCCCGTAACATGATATTGAAGCTACAATTCATTGCGGAGAATGGCTATCTATGGTGGGTGGTTCTACCACTGGAGATCTGCAGATCAGGTATTGCCTAGATACTGTGAAAATTAAAATCAAATACTTACAAAGTTTGTTTGGTGGCGTATTAATCCACTTATTTTTATTATTCATTTAAAATAATTTAATTATTTTTCTGCCAAAGTATTATATCGTAAATTTATTTTTTATTTAATATATTATATACAATAAAATATTAAAAATATTCTATCAAATATTTAAATAGTTATTACTTCTAGACTATAATTTTAAAATTCACTATTTCAAAATATACGAAACACCAAAATACAATCATGGTAAATAAATAAGGCATACAAATTAATAATAAATAATTGAAAAAGATTACTTGACCAAAATAAAGAGTAAAAATTATTAGACCCATTCAAATTCAATTTTTTTATTTTTGATCCCGTACAAATATAATTATCAAAACTAGTCCCACCAAAAAAATTACTTATTATTTCTAGTCTCATCGTTCAAATTTTAACGGTTTCGGCTAACGTGGCTGTTACGGATGCTAACTTGGAATCTGACTCGAACACAATACGCCCGTGTTGCACAAAACACGCCCGTGTTTATAATACACCTCAGCGGACCAATTTGAGACTACAACACGAGCGTGTTATATGGAACCCTAGCCCCACATGTTGTTGACAAAAACCCTAGCTCCACGTGTTTCCCATTTCAAATCTATTTCACTCAAATTCTCTCTTATTTCTTCCCCATTCCAGCCCCACTTCTCCAATCTATTAACCTCACTTTCCATACATTATATTTTATCTCTTTGAAGTGAAAAATATTCTCGTGGAATCTATTGTGGAGGTAATTTTTAATTTGTTTTTTTCATATCTTTATTGTCTCTTATGGTATAAAAAATAATAATATGTATAAGTTGTATATTCTAGTGATTAATGGATTATATTGTATAAAAAGTTGAATATTATAGAAATAAGTTTTATATAATGTATTGTTTCATAATTTATGCATAATTTTTTGTATTTTATAATTAGTGTATTCAATATGTGTTATATCCTCATTTGTATTGTAGGAGAAAATTATTTATCGTAAAAATGAGTTATGATAAAGGAAAATGTATCGAAGAAATATACGATGAAGATGTAAATTTGGATTGCAATGAAATTCGAGAAGAAGATTAGTGGAATGAAATGCTTAATGAATCGGATTTTGAGGATTCCGATTATATGATGGATGAACAAGATTCAGAGGATGATAGGATTGATTGGTCATTGTTCGAGAGTAATGTTGATATAAATGAGTTTAATGAAAATCAAAGTGTCGTGGTGCACCAAAATTCCGAAGATGACATGTCATTTGGTGATTCTCAAGAAAAAGATTTAACCATGTTTGTTGAATCCGATGTTGATGAAATGGAATCGTATGCCATTTATGATCCAGCGTCAAAGTATGATTCCACTTTTAGTCTTAGAATGATTTTTAGCTCTAAAAAAGAATTTAAGGAGGCGGTCCACAATCACGCTATCAAGACAATGAGAAGTTTGAAATTTGTCAAGAATGATAAAAGAAGAGTTTATGTCCGATGTGTTGTTGAGAATTGCAATTGGAAAATGAATGTATTAAAGGTGAATGAGCAAACATCTTTTCAACTAAGGACATATAATTGCAATCATGATTGTATATGCGACTTGAATATGAAGAATGTGAAGTCGAAATGGCTTGCAAGGAAGTATGAGTCGTTGTTTCGATCAGATTCTAAACGACGTATAAAAGGGTTTAGGACAGACGTCACATAAGACATTAGATGCAATATATCCCAACAGCAAGCATACAGAGAACGAAAATGGGCACTGAAGGCAATTGAAGGTGATGCTGAAGAGCAATATGGAAATTTGTGGGACTATGCTGAAGCTTTACGACAGTCTAATCCTGGGTCAACTGTTTTGATGCAATTGGAAGACGAATTTTTGAATGGACGACGCAGATTTAGCAAGTATTACATATGTTTGAAATCGCTTGTACGTGGGTTTCAGTCTGGAAGTCGACCTATCATTGGGGTGGATGGTTGTCACCTAAAAGATCCTTGCCAAGGCATTCTTTTGACTGCAATTGGAATTGATCCCAACAATGAGTTGTTTCCTTTGGCATATGCTGTTGTCGGGAGTGAGACGCGCGAAGCGTGGGAATGGTTTTTCACTCTTCTAATGGAGGATTTGAACATAGAGCACGAGGGTTATACATTTATATCTGACAAACAAAAAGGTCTTGTTCCGGCCATGGAAAAGATTTTCCCTCAATGCGAAAAAAGATTTTGTGTTCGACATTTGTATGGAAATATGAAAACAGTTGGATTTAAGGGTCTTGCATATAAAAGATTGATTTGGATGGCCGCCGACGCAAGTACTGTCCCCGACTTTGAGGAGGTGATGAAGGAGATTCAAGAGTTGGATCCGAAATGCATTGATTGACTTGCCGACAAGCCACCGTCTCAGTGGTCAAGATCGCATTTTGCTACATACGAGTATCGATCGATGCTGGTTCATTTTAATATATGTTAGTTCCATACGAATTAGTAATTTATTAGTACTAATAGAGAGATGATGTCATGAATGACGTCATACTAATCTGATTTTACATTTTAAAAAATACACTATAAGTTAAAATAAATAAATAAAGAGTAAAAATCATTATTAGCCCATTCAAATCCAATTTTTTCATTTTTGGTTTCATACAAAAACAATTATTAAAACTAGTCCCACCCAAAAAATTACTTATCATTTCTAGTCCCACCGTTCAAATTTTGACGGTTTCGGCTGACGTGGCTATTACGGATGCTGACTTGGAATATGACTCGGACACAACACGCCCGTGTTGCACAAAACACGCCCGTGTTTATAATACACCTCAGCAGACCAATTTGAAACTCCAACACGGGCGTGTTATATAGAACACGGCCGTGTTTCTACATAATACACGGGCATGTTCATTAAAACACGGCCATGTTGTACCATTAAAAGTTTTGGCGATTAAAATTAGCCGTACACGGCCGTGTTCGACCTCGTTGTTGACAAAAATCCTAACCCCACATGTTCCCCATTTCAAATCTATTTCACTCAAATTCTCTCTCATTTCTTCCCCATTCCAGCCCCACTTCTCCAATCTATTAATCTCACTTTCCATATATTATATTTTATTTCTTTGAAGTGAAGAATATTCTCGTGGAATCTACTTTTGAGGTAATTTTAAATTTGTTTTTTTCATATCTTTATTGTCTTTTATGGTATAAAAAATAATAATATATATAAGTTGTATATTCTAGTGATTAATGAATTATATTGTATGAAAAGTTGAATATTATAGAAATAAGTTTTATATAATGATTTATGCATAATTTTTTGTATTTTATAATTTGTGTATTCAATATGTGTTATATCCTCACTTGTATTGTAGGAGAAAATTATTTATCATAAAAATGAGTTATGATAAAGGAAAATGTATCGAAGAAATATACGATGAAGATGTAAATTTGGATTGCAATGAAATTCGAAAAGAAGATGAGTTGAATGAAATGCTTAATGAATCGGGTTTTGAGGATTCCGATTATATGATGGAAGAACAAGATTCGGAGGATGATAGGAATGATTGGTCATTGTTCGAGAGTAATGTTGATATAAGTAAGTTTAATGAAAATCAAAGTGTCGTGGTGCACCAAAATTCCGAAGATGACATGTCATTTGGTGATTCTCAAGAAAAAGATTTAACCATGTTTGTTGAATCCGATGTTGATGAAATGGAATCGTATGTCATTTATGATCCAGCGTCAAAGTATGATCCCACTTTTAGTCTTGGAATGATTTTTAGCTCTAAAAAACAATTTAAAAGGCGATCCAGAAACACGCTATCAAGACAATGAGAAGTTTGAAATTTGTCAAGAATGATAAAAGAAGAGTTTATGTCCGATGTGCTGTTGAGAACTGCAATTGGAAAATGATGTGTTAAAGGTGAATGATCAAACATCTTTTCAACTAAGGACATATAAT